GTCCCACCCTTTACCTGCCCCACCCCTTTACCTGCCCCACCCTTTACTGCCCTTCCCCTTATCTGTCTCACCTTACTGACCCTTTACCTGCCCTACCCCACCTGTCCCACCCCTTTACCTGTCCCACCTTTACCTGCCCCACCCCTTTACCTGCCCTTTTACCTGTCTCACCCCTTACCTGTCCCACCCCTTTACCTGTCACCCCTTTACCTGTCACCCCTTACCTGTCCCACCCTTACCTGTCCCCTCTACCTGCCCCATCCACACACTTGTACTGTCCCATCCACACACTGGTACTGTCCCATCCACACTGGTACTGTCCCATCCACACACTGTACTGCCCCAGCCACACACTAGTACTGCCCCAGCCACACACTTGTGCTGTCCCATCTACACACTTGTACTGTCCCATCCACACCGTTGTACTGTCCCATCCACACACGTGTACTGCCCCCCATACATGCTGTCCCATCCACACACTGTCCCATCCACACACTTGTACTGTCCCATCCACACACCCTGCCGTCCCACCCCATGTCCCATCCACACACTTGTACTGTCCCATCCACACTTGTCCCATCCACACCTTGCACTGTCCCGTCCACACACTTGCACTGTCCCATCCACACACTTGCACTCTCCCATCCACACACTTGCACTCTCCCATCCACACACGTGCACTGTCCCATCCACACAATGCTGTCCATCCACACACTTGCTCTGTCCCATCCACACGTGCTGTCCCATCACACTTCACTGTCCCATCCACACCTTGCACTGTCCCATCCACCGTGCACTGTCCCATCCACACCTTGCTTTCCCATCCACACACTTGCACTGTCCCATCCACGTGCTGTCCCATCTGACTGTCCCATCACACACTTGCACTGTCCCATCCACACTTGCACTGTCCCATCCACACACTTGTACTGTCCCATCCACACACACTGGCACTGTCCCATCCACACACACTGGTACTGTCCCACCACACACACCTTGTACTGCCCCAGCCACACACTAGTACTGCCCCAGCCACACACTCTGTACTGTCCCATCCACACACTTGTACTGTCCCATCCACACACTTGTACTGTCCCATCCACACACTCTGTACTGTCCCATCCACACACTTGTACTGTCCCATCCACACTTGCATTGTCCCATCCACACACTTGTACTGTCCCAACACTTGTACTGTCCCATCCACACACTGCACTGTCCCATCCACACACCTGTACTGTCCCATCCACACACCTGTACTGTCCCATCCACACTCTGCATGTCCCATCCCAACTTGCACTGTCCCATCCACACCCCTGTACTGTCCCATCCACACATTGTACTGTCCCATCCAATGTACTGTCCCACCACACACTTGTACTGTCCCATCCACACACGTGTACTGTCCCATCCACACACCTGTACCGTCCCATCCACACACTTACTGTCCCATCCACACACTTGTACTGTCCCATCCACACACCTGTACTGTCCCATCCACACACCCTGTACTGTCCCATCCACACACCTGCATTGTCCCATCCACACACCTGTACTGTCCCATCACACACTTGCACTGTCCCATCCACACACTTGCACTGTCCCATCCACACGCTTCCACTGCCCCATCCACACCCCGTCCCGTCCACACACCCTGTACTGTCCCATCCACACACTCTGCACTGTCCCATCCACACACCTGCACTGTCCCATCCACACACTCTGCACTGTCCCATCCACACACTCTGCACTGTCCCATCCACACCCCACTGTCCCATCCACACACTGCACCGTCCCATCCACTTGCACTGTCCCATCCACACACGTGCACTGTCCCATCCACACACTTGTACTGTCCCATCCACACACTTGCATTGTCCCATCCACACACTGCACTGTCCTATCCACACACACTTGCACTGTCCCATCCACACGCAATGTCCCATCCACACTGCACCCTCCATCCACACACTTGCACTGTCCCATCCACAACCCTGCACTGTCCCATCCACACACTCTGCACTGTCCCATCCACACACTTGCACTGTCCCATCCACACACTTGTACTGTCCCATCCACACACTTGCACTGTCCCATCCACACACACTTGCACTGTCCCATCCACACACCTTGTACTGTCCCATCCACACACCTGTACTGTCCCATCCACACACACCTGCATTGTCCCATCCACACACTTGTACTGTCCCATCCACACACTTGTACTGTCCCATCCACACACTTGTACTGTCCCATCCACACACCTTGTACTGTCCCATCCACACACCTGTACTGTCCCAGCCACACACCTTGTACTGTCCCATCCACACACACACTTGCATTGTCCCATCCACACACCTGTACTGTCCCAGCCACACACTTGTACTGTCCCATCCACACACTTGCACTGTCCCATCCACACGCCTCTACTGCCCCTTCCACACACCTGTACTGTCCCGTCCACACACTGTACTGTCCCATCCACACTTGCACTGTCCCATCCACACACCCTGCACTGTCCCATCCACACACTGCACTGTCCCATCCACACACCTGCACTGTCCCATCCACACACTTCTGCACCTGTCCCATCCACACACACTTGCACCTGTCCACACACGTGCACTGTCCCATCCACACACTTGTACTGTCCCATCCACATACATTGTCCCATCCACACACTTGCACTGTCCCATCCACACTTGCACTGTCCCATCCACACGTGCACTGTCCCATCCACACACTCTTGCACCTTCCATCCACACTTGCACTGTCCCATCCACACACTTGCACTGTCCCATCCACACACCCTGCACTGTCCCATCCACACACTGCACTGTCCCATCCACACACACTCTGTACCGTCCCATCCACGCTTGTACTGTCCCATCCACACAGCTTGAACTGTCCCATCCACACGCTTGTACTGTCCCATCCACACACTTGTACTGTCCCATCCACACACTTTGTACTGTCCCATCCACACACTTGTACTGCCCCATCCACACACACTTGTACTGTCCCATCCACACACTTGCACTGTCCCATCCACACACTTGCACTGTCCCACACACCTGTACTGTCCCATCCACACGCTTGTACTGTCCCATCCACGCTTGAACTGTCCCATCCACACGCTTGTACTGTCCCATCCACACACCTTGTACTGTCCCATCCACACACTTGTACTGTCCCATCCACACACCCTCCACGGCCCCAACCACACACTCTGTACTGTCCCATCCTCACCCCTGTACTGCCCTTCCACACACTTGTACTGTCCCATCCACAAACTTGAACTGTCCCATCCACACACTTGTACTGTCCCATCCACACACGTGTACTGTCCCATCCACACATGTGTACTGTCCCATCCACACACTCTGTACCGCCCATCCACACACACTCCTGAACTGTCCCATCCACGCACTTATACTGTCCCATCCACAGACTTGTGTCCCATCCACGCACTTGTACTGCCCCATCCACACACTTGTCCTGCCCCATCCACACACTCTGTACTGCCCCACCCACACACTTGTCCTCACCCCATCCACACACTTGAACTGTCCCATCCACACACTTGTACTGTCCCATCCACACTTGTACTGTCCCATCCCCTGTACTGCCCCATCCACGCACTTGTCCTGCCCCATCCACACACCTGTACTGCCCCACCCACACACTTGTCCTACCCCATCCACACACCCTGAACTGTCCCATCCACACACTTGTACTGTCCCATCCACACACTTGAACTGTCCCATCCACACACTTGTACTGTCCCATCCACACACTTGTACTATCACTTCCACGCACTTGTAGTGTCCCATCCACACACGTGTCCTGCCCCATCCACACACTTGTCCTGCCCCATCCACACACGTGTCCTGCCCCATCCACACACTTGTCCTGTCCCATCCACACACTTGTACTGTCCCATCACCTTGCTGAATTCTCATGACTGGCAGCTGAAGGTTTTTCTGGGTATGTTGAGTTGGCAGGTAGTATATTGTATGGTGGGTGGCACACCATGCTCTGGCGACCTGGCCTGCCCGATGCACTCTCCACTAACCCCTCACGACCAGACCAACTAGCGTCTGCCTTTCCATACTGACGCTGGTGTTGGTGCAGGTGGCCGGATGGTGGAACAGGAGCAGTGTGGTCGGTTAAGAGTCGCCAGCGAGCAAGGTAGGTGGTGGTTGGGCTGGGCATTGTGGCTAATATAATGTTTGGGTGATCTGTCATTGTTGATTGTGTGTGTGGTGGGGAGGGTGACGGGTGTGTGTGTGTGTTTATGAGGGGTGGTGACAGTGGTCTACCCGCTGACCTGCTCCTCAGCTCATGGCTCCTACCACAGACGGCGGTAAACTTCACTTCAGAACCATTCTTCACTTCACAAGTTGCCACTGTAATTTTCGCTGTAACTAAAGACTCGACTGAATTATTGCCTCCAAAGAAATGCATTCGTAACAAATCCAATTTTGTTACGCCTTAATCTCATCAATATTAAACAATGTCTTCTAATTAAACCCCGATCGCAAGCGGAACTCACGTTGGCAATTTGTTTCATTCATTCACTTAAGTTCACACACCCCTTTTGGGCCTAATGAGCTGTTCATTAGTGAACTTCACTCCTTATAACTATTATATAATTGCGGTAGTGAGCTTCACTCCTTATAACGATTATATAAGTGCGCCACGAGAACTGTATTTGCTGTTATACAAGAGTACGATGGGTGCATATTGGTGTTATATAAGTAAGTGTAATGAGTTGCACCACTTTTTCAGAGCTGGAGTTGGGGCTGAGCGAAGTTCTCTGTGGTTACAGATGAGGCTCGAGCAAACAGGGCGAGAGTTAGTGATAGTAAAACTCAATACGGACGGTAAACCCTTCACCGGTATTACTGGAGCCACAGCCCACCTACCATCTGCTAGAGTTAAATGCGACCCTGGCATTGACTACCAAATATCAGCTAACGATTTAGCCCTTGCTACAGTACCGGGACAGGACTTTGACCCGCGAACTCGCTGCTTCTCCGAGGAGGAGCTCAAACCACAGCCCATGATCAAGAAGAGCCGCAAACAGGTGTGTTACCAGACCGCGTGCACCACACGGTGTACACACACACAATAAGTTGTTGTAGTGAAACACAAACATAGTGATTACTTATAGTGAAACAAACAGTGTGATCACAGTGAAACAAACTGTTGTCATGGTGAAACACACACACACACACATACAGTGTTGTTATAGTGAAACACACACAGTGTGGTCATAGTGAAACAAACAGTGTTGTCATAGTGAAACAAACAGTTGTCATGGTGAAACAAACACACACACACACAACACACTGTTAAGGCAACACACACAGTGTTGTTATAGTGAAACACACAGTGTTGTTATAGTGAAACACACACAGTGTTGTTATAGTGAAACACACACAGTTAATATAGTGAAACAAACAGTGTTGTCATAGTGAACAAAACAGTTGTCATGGTGAAACAAACACACACACACACACACACAACACACACAGTGTTGTTATAGTGAAACACAACAGTGTTGTCATAGTGAAACACACAGTGTTGTTATAGTGAAACACACACAGTGTTGTTATAGTGAAACACACACAGTGTTATAGTGAAACACTCACATACAGTGTTGCCATAGAACACGCATACAGTGTTGCCATAGTGAAACAGTGTTATAAGAAACAGGTGCATATAGAAACACTGTTGTCATAGTGAAAACACACATGCAGTGTTGTCATAGAAACACACACTGTTGTCATAGTGAAACACACATACAGTGTTGTCAATAGTGAAACACACAGTGTTGTTATAGGAACACACAGTGTGGTCATAGTGAAACACACACTGTTGTCATAGTGAAACACATAGTGTTGTCATAGTGAAACACACACTGTTTTCATAGTGAAACACACACACAGTGTTGTTATAGTAGAACACACAGTTGTCATAGTGAAACACACACAGTGTGGTCATAGTGAAACACACACTGTTGTCATAGTGAAACACACACACTGTTGTCATAGTGAAACACACACAGTGTTGTCATAGTGAAACACATAGTGTTGTCATATAGGAAACACACACACAGTGTGGTCATAGTGAAACACACATAGTGTTGTCATAGTGAAACACACACACAGTGTTGTCATAGTGAAACACACAGTGTTGTCATAGTGAAACACATAGTGTTGTCATAGTGAAACACACACTGTTGTCATAGTGAAACACACAGTGTTGTCATAGTGAAACACACACTGTTTTCATAGTGAAACACACACAGTGTTGTCATAGAAACACAGTGTTGTCATAGTGAAACACACACACAGTGTGGCTCGTAGTGAAACACACACTGTTGTCATAGTGAAACACACACACTGTTGTCATAGTGAAACACACACAGTGTTGTTAGTGAAACACATAGTGTTGTCATAGTGAAACACACACAGTGTTGTCATAGTGAAACACACATAGTGTTGTCATAGTGAAACACACACACAGTGTGGTCATAGTGAAACACACATAGTGTTGTCATAGTGAAACACACACACACTGTTGTCATAGTGAAACACACACACACACTGTTGTCATAGTGAAACACACAGTGTTGTCATAGTGAAACACACACAGTGTTGTCATAGTGAAACACACAGTGTTGTCATAGTGGAAACACACAGTGTTGTCATAGTGAAACACACACAGTGTTGTCATAGTGAAACACACACTGTTGTCATAGTGAAACACACTCAGTGTTGTCATAGGAAACACACAGTGTTGTCATAGTGAAACACACAGTGTTGTCATAGTGAAACACACTGTTGTCATAGTGAAACACACACTGTTGTCATAGTGAAACACACACACAGTGTTGTTATAGGAAACACACACACAGTGTTGTCATAGTGAAAACACACACACAGTGTTGTCATAGTGAAACACACACAGTGTTTTATAGTGAAACACACACACACTGTTGTCATAGTGAAACAAGTGTTGTCATAGTGAAACACACACACAGTGTTGTCATAGTGAAACACAACACAGTGTTGTCATAGGTGAAACACAGTGTTGTCATAGTGAAACACAGTTATAGAGAAACACAGTGTTGTCATAGTGAAACACAGTGTTGTCATAGTGAAAACACACACATTCAGTGTTGTCATAGTGAAACACAGTGATATAGAGAAACACACACCCAGTGTTGTCATAGTGAAACACACACACAGTAGTTAATAACACACACACAGTGTTGTCATAGTGAAAACACACACACAGTATTGTCATAGTGAAACACAGTGTTTTATAGTGAAACACACACAGTGTTGTCATAGTGAGACACACAGTTATAGAGAAACACACAGTGTTGTCATAGTGAAACACACACACACTGTTGTCATAGTGAAACACACACACACACTGTTGTCATAGTGAAACACACACACACTGTTGTCATAGTGAAAACACAGTGTTTTCATAGTGAAACACACACAGTGTTGTCATAGTGAAACACACACACTGTTGTCATAGTGAAACACACACACAGTGTTGTCATAGTGAAACACACACACACACAGTGTGTTGCTCGTAGTGAAACACACACACTGTTGTCATAGTGAAACACACACACTGTTGTCATAGTGAAACACATACACAGTGTTGTCATAGTGAAACACAGTGTTACAGAGAAACACACACACAGTGTTGTCATAGTGAAAGTGTTGTTATAGTGAAACACGCACATACAGTGTTCCCTTAGTGAAACACAGTGTTGTCATAGTGAAACGCAGTGTTGTCATAGTGAAACACAGTGTTGTCATAGTGAAACACACACATACAGTATTGTCATAGTTAAACACACACACACAGTGTTGTCATAGTGAAACTGTTGTCATAGTGAAACACACACATACAGTATTGTCATAGTTAAACACACACATACAGTGTTGTCATAGTGAAACACACACAGTGTTGTTATAGTGAAACACACACAGTGTGGTCATAGTGAAACAAACAGTGTTGTCATCATGAAACACAGTGTTGTTATAGTGAAACACACACAGTGTTGTCACAGTGAAACACACACATACAGTGTTGTCATAGTGAAACACACACACAGTGTTGTCATAGTGAAACACACATACAGTGTTGTCATAGTGAAACACACACATACAGTGTTGTCACAGTGAAACACACACATGTGTTGTCATAGTGAAACACACACAGTGTTAACATAGTGTTGTCATCGTGAAACACACACACACAGTGTTGTTATAGTGAAACACATATGTGTTGTCATAGTGAAACACACACAGTGTTGTCATAGTGAAACACACATACAGTGTTAACATAGTAAGGTCATCAGAAACACACACACACACAGCAAGTTGTTATATGAAACACATATGTGTTGTCATAGTGTAAAACACACAGTGTTGTCATAGTGGAACACACATACAGTGTTGTCACAGTGAAACACAGTGTTGTCATAGTGAAACACACACATACAGTGTTGTCATAGAAACACACACATGTGTTGGGTTATAGTGAAACACACATACAGTGTTGTCACAGTGAAACACAGTGTTGTCATAGTTAAACACACACATATGTGTTGTCATAGTGAAACACACACAGTGTTGTCATCATGAAACACAGTGTTGTTATAGTGAAACATAAGTGAAACATACAGTGTTGTCATAGTGAAACACACGCACAGTGTTGTCATAGTGAAACACACACACAGTGTTGTCATAATGAAACACACACATACAGTGTTGTCACAGTGAAACACACACATGTGTTGTCATAGTGAAACACACACACAGTGTTGTTATAGTGAAACACACACAGTGTGGTCATAGTGAAACAGTGTTGTCATCATGAAACACAGTGTTGTTATAGTGAAACACACAGTGTTTTCAGTGAAACACACACACACATGTGTTGTCATAGTGAAACACACACACAGTGTTGTCATAGTGAAAAACATAGTGTTGTCATCGTGAAACACACACACACAGTGTTGTTATAGTGAAACACATACGTGTTGTCATAGTGAAACACACAGTGTTGTTAAAGTGAAACACACAGTGTTGTCATAGTGAAACACACACACACAGTGTTGTCATAGTGAAACACACAGTGTTGTCATACTGAAACACACAGTGTTTTCATAATGAAACACACAGTGTTGTCATAGTGAAACACACACACACAGGCATGTTAGTGCTATGTAGTACTGTGCATGCTAGTCACACATGCAGAAGTATAAACTTACACATCCGCTACACCACATAAGTATTGCAATATTATCTAAGAAATCTCTTATTTGTTTCATAATTTTAAGTAAGTTTTTATGTATGCAGTACAGTATAACAATCATTATAATCATTAATCTTGAATACTAAGGCCAATTTCTAGCTTCATTTAAACAGTGAACATATATTCTATTTTATTTTCAAATTAATTTGGCCATACTGCACTTTAAAGGACAAGGTTCATTTTAAATTCATTTGAAATCAGATTATACGCTAAATATGTATACAGTAGAGTGGTCTACAAGTCCTTCCTCATAAGGAATAAACTTATTAGATATATATTGGCTAAGTGCTCAAATTGAAGGCCATCATCTTGAAGACAGTACTGTACAGTACAGAGTACAGTGATAAGAGTGCTCATGTACTCATGGCTAGTTTTCTCAAGTACTGTACTGTACTGTACTGTACATGGTGCCCCTGCATTGTGTTGCAGCTGGGTAATTTTCTTGGCTGTCTTCATCTTAAGCAATACTGTACAGTACAGTACTTTAATAAAAAAGCTCATATGACAACATATTTGTAAGAACCTCATGAGGCAGGACATATAGACCACCTTTATGTGTATACAAGTAGTGGTGTGATGTAATTAAGACAATAGTATTCAGAGAACTGGTTATATACCAAGCCTTCTCTACTATTTATAAGTGGTCTTTTGTAAAAACTTATGACAAATAATTACTGTTGGCTTCCTCAGGGATCTGTGAGTCCCTCGGCAAATGGCATCATTGATCAGGTGAGTGTAGGAGACATGGCTTGGTATATTTCTTTTCTTTGAATACTACTACAGTAATTTTTTTTTTTTTTTTTGTAGACAAAAAATTTACGAAACAATAGTGGATTATTCATATAAAATATTAAAAGGTGTGATATACAGTATTTTAGATCTTAAGAGATGAGAGGTTGAGAAGAGATGGTGTGCATATGTAAATGATTAACTCTGAGTGAATGCAAGTGGTGACCAAAGTGTTGGTTTTGAAGAATTAGGAAGAATATTAGGCAAAGTAGCAATGCATTTTCCACCATATGAGTTGTATGCGTGTGTGTTGCAGTTTGTTCCACATGAGCTGAAGGATGACAAATATTGGGCTCGGCGCCGAAAGAATAATATGGCTGCCAAACGTTCTCGTGATGCTCGCAGACTCAAGGAAAATCAGATAGCAATGCGTGCCAACTTCTTAGAAAAAGAGGTAAGCTGTTTTCCTATTGTGCGGACTGTTCTGGGCTTCATACCAACCAAGTGACTGAATGAAGATGAAACTCTTTTAAATTATTTTAGGTTTTTCCTTGTAAATAAGTCAATGTGAGATTAGCACATTTTTAAATTGCTATGCTGTGGTACAGTTATGAAACCATGTTTTTTCCCACCTAAAGAACCATCATATTCCAGTTATTATCCCATTGATTTATAAAACCAGAATATTTTTTAAAAACATTGATATTATGGAATACTACTTACTATTGTTCTCATTATAGCTTTTACTTATATGACTTGTAGCCAGTTGTGTGCAACTCTTGAATGTGTTTACTAGACTTTGGTGGGTTTCCATAGTAAATCCCTAGGCAATGTGTGACTAGGTACTGTACTAAAAAAATCACTCGACTCCCCACTCGCCAGTGTCATCCAACTTTTAAAATCAGACACATAAGAGGTAATAAATCATGATGTTGCACATTTCCTTCTCTTCACTAAGCAAATTGCTGCTTATTTGACAGTGTCATAAACCAGGTTCACAGTCACAATCTACCCCACCCGTCCTACTCCAGTTGTCAACCTCTCTAAGGAAAGATGTCTATTTGATGCCTCAACTTGTTTCAAATGAGCTAAGTGCGTGGCTTCTTAGCATTAGAGTTGGGTAGGGGAACATATTTACTGGTGTTGTACTATGCATGGAAACAGTAGATGATTTCCTTTTACATAATTTTACATATGTTGACACATGAAACACCCTGAGAATGCTGTACCTGTGCAGCGGGTTAGAAAGAGCAGCTGTTGATGTTATGTTTAGATTTATTCCTTTTCCGCCTTAACTCTGGGGGGCATATTGTGATCATGTATGTTAGGCATATGTATCACAAATGATTGTGCATACAGTATTTTTCTTATTTATCTTTTCTTCTCCTGATTGGGGGAGATATGAATCGACCCCCCCCCCTCCCAATCCTAAAGGAGTTAAAGAAAAATAAAGTTCTGCCTCATCTTTCCCGTCACTTCTTTTGGAGAGGGAGGAGGAGTCTTAAAGACCTACAAACCAGAACACTTGGTACTGAACCTGGAGGACTGAGATCCTTTGGGATTCTTTTACCTAGATTAGACGGGTTAATTAGTAGGTTTTAATATTAGTTACAGATGTTCTGTATCTGGGACACAATTTTGGGGAGTTGGTATGGACTGTATCAACTGACACTTGGTATACCTTTTTGGGAGTAATTCTGTGAAGTCATCTGGCTGACAATCTTGTTTTGTCTCTGATTAATGAGATGTCTTCTTGATTTGGTTAAGTAATATCTCCGTTAGCCGGAATCCCTCTCAATTGCAACTCTCCAATAGCTGGAATTGAAATTTTCGGAGGGGTACTTTTCTGGAAAATTTTCCCAGTACCCAGAAAACTTCGGGAGTGGGGGGATATTTTTCCGGGTTAGAGAGATGATGTACAGTAAGATCTCATATTTCGCGCGATTTCATTTTGCTTTTTTGAATTTTGCGAGCACTACCTAATGTACCGGGTAACCAAGTCTTATATTTGGCGTAACATATCGTGAGTTTCGCTAGATCTAGCGAGCTGAATGCTGGCCACCGTCTTGAAGAAGGTCACAGGCCTCATACCAGTTAAAGTCATTTCTGCTACAATGCATGTTTTGTCAACGCAAATTGGTTGTAACACGATTGATGAATGGGGGAACGCTGTTTGTAAAACGCGAACTTTTGCATACAAATGTTGGCTATAGCGCAATTTCATCCTCAATGTTTTAAGCATGGCGCGGGATTATGCAATGTTTACAGTTTACGTTCGACATCACATGTTTAATTGATTCGTGTTTTTTGTTTGCGAAGTGTATTTTGAGAGGTACTCTGTAAATTTTGTTCTTTATTTGCAAATTTTGCTGTTACATAAATACTGTATGAAAAGAATAAGTAAAAAAAATTGTTTCGCAGTGAGGACTGACCACGGTTTACACCAGCGCTCTCTGTTTACATCACATGATCAGTTGAATCGCACGGTTTCTGTCGATTACTCCTTGATTTTCGCTGTTTTCTCCAATTTTGTCGTGTTAGCGATGAATATGGAAAGACAAGGTAAGAAGAATGTTTCCAAGAAGCGTTCAGGTGACCGAATTGTTGGTGGCGAGAGTAAAAGAGGTTCACAAGAACGCAACTATCGTGTTGTAGCCCTCGCCATCCTAGCGACTGCTCAGGTTGCTAGTGTGTGCTTTTTTGGTGGTGCAACCACCTGTCGAGTCAAGATAATGGCCTCTACCTCTACTGGGGGTCCTGCTGGTGGGGGTGGGACAGACCCACCTAAGCGGCCAAATAAGGAAAAGGAGACGTGTATCATAAGGGAGTTAAGTTTGCCAAGTAGTTGATGCAGGATAAGTAGTGTGTGATTAAGTTACTTGAGGAAGGCCTAAAAAGTTGTTTCCGGAAAGCGCAATCTAGTCAATAAAGGCAGAATTTGTATAATTTGGAAGTTATAAATGGGAAAATCAGAGGTTGATGTAGAGTGGCCAGTCTCTTTGCTATTTTTCCCATTAGTTTATGTATTTACATTTGGCGCAATTTTTCCAGTCTATATTACAGTGGTCCCTTGGTTAACGAGCACAATTCGTTCCAGAAGGTTGCTCATTAACCGAAAAATTCGTTAACCGAAACTATTGTTTCAATGGGTTTTGGGGTAATTGGTTCCAGCTCACCGAAAATTGCATAAAGTCAACAAAAAAGGTAGTAAAGTACACTTACTTTGAGGTGTGTATGTAGAAGGCTCCTGGATGATGATGCTGATGTGAATTTGAAGTGGGAGGTGGAGGAGAAGGGAGAAGAGAAGGAAGTGGAGGTGGAGGAGAAGCATTTTACTGCTTCTTGGAAGGTGAGTCACCTTCCATGAAAATGTCAGGAACCTCTGGACTGACAGATTCTCCAGCAGGAACATCCTCTCTCCTTCTTGAAGTGGAAGGCTGAGGGCTAGCATCTTTTTCCCGCTGCCTTTTAGTGAAGAAACTGTCAATTTTTGTTTGTGGGGCATCTCTCCTCCTCATCATTAACTGATGTTTGAAGAAGGAGACCACTGTGTCCTCAACATTACACAAAGCAAGTTCTGCTTTTTCCACATCTGGGTGCCTTGAAGCCAGTTTCCTGAACTTCTCCCAGTAATGAACAACATCTTTCAAATATGAAGTTGACATATGGTCATCACTTTCCTTTCCTCCTCACCATTGTCAGCCTCCAACATCTCATCCAGTTGCTGCAAGTCTTCAGGAGTAAGTTCCTGCTCATGAGACATCACATGCTCTTCTACATCATCCTCCTCCACTTCAAGGCCCAATGACTGACCAATGGACACAATCTCCTGGCCCAACTCTGCTTTTCCTCAAATCCCTCAAAATCATGGAGTACTGATGGCCACAGTGCTTTCCATGAAGAATTGAGGGATCTAGTGGAGACTTCTTGCCATGAGGACACAATCAATTTTACAGCCTCCAGGATGTTAAATTGTGTCTTCCAGAACTGTGCTAGTGTTAGTTCAGGATCAGTGGAAGTTGCCTGATGACACCTCCTGAACATTTTCTTTATGTACAGCTTCTTAAAGTTGCTGATCACATTCTGGTCCATTGGCTGTATGATTGATATAGTGTTGGGAGGTAAAAACAACACTTTGACAAAGTCATATTGAGACTCCAAAGTGCTGGCAAGTTCAGGGTCATGACCAGGAGCATTATCTATAAGAAGAGCCTTTAAAGGAAGGTTATTGGTGGTTAGGTAGCTCTTCTCAGAAGGGCAAAACACCTCAACTGCCCATTCATTAAAGAGCTGTCTTGTCACCCATGCCTTACGGTTGGACTTCCAATTACCTCCAAGCTTTCCTCTTACCACTTTTTGTTGTTTGAACACCCTGGGGTTCTCAGAGTGGTAGACAAGCATAGGCTTCAATCAGAAATCCCCTGAAGCATTGGCACCAAGCAATAGAGTGAGATGGTCTTTCATGGGTTTATGCCCAGGTAAAGAGGCTTCATCTCTGGTGATGAATGTTCTTTTGGACATCTTTTTCCAGAACAGCCCAGTTTTGTCCACCTTGAACACTCACTTTGGAAGATAATTTTCTTCATCCACCAGTTCTTTAAAGTCCAGTAAAAATTTTGCTGATCCTTCCTTTTCAGCACTGGCAGCCTCACCATGCCTAACAAAACTAAAAATGTCACTTCTTTTTTTTTAAATTTTTCGAACCAGCCCTTGCTGGCCCTAAACTCTTCAAACTCTGTGCCTGAAGAACCAGGTTGATCTGCCTTTAAATGTTCGTAAATCTCCCTGGCTCTTTCACAAATAAATTTGGTCGAAACTGAATCACCTGTTTTTCCTTAATCCAAATGAGAAGTAACCTCTCTGTTTCTGCTATAAGGGATCTACCTTTAAACACTGGTAGATTTGTCTCTCACTTTCACTTCCTTGAATTTGTCTTTCTGTGAAAGAATTGTCAACACAGTTGATGTCGACATGCCATATTCTTTGCTAAGCACATTTGTTCTAATGCCTTCTTCAAGTTTCTTAATAATTTCCTGCTTCACCTGGATTGAAATCGCTTTTCTGGATTTCTTGAGAACCATGCTGGATTCAAAAACAATTTCAACACTAAAATTTTAAGTTTAATTGCTGTAAATAAAGAATATTTTCTTTAAATCAACACTGCACTGCGCTATATATCATCTATATGTAAAATAAATTTCAAAATGACCAATAATTTCACTGTAAAAATGGAAAAAATAGTTTGTTGAAGAGAGAGTGAAGCAAGATGTTACCTCCACTGAAGAGACACAGAGACTGACGCCTGTGTGGTGTGTTGAGTGGCTGTTTGGCGCGCTAAAAACTAGTTTCCCTGTACTTCAATTATGTTAAATAATTGTTAAAATGACAAAAAAATTTAATATAAGACTTTTAAAATTAGTGAATAGTACAAACATCTTGATATTTACTAAAATAGTCAGAAATTTAAACCCTAGAACCGATTACTGTATTGGCGGACTAATACGACCGCTAGTGAGCAAGCGAAAACATGTTGAGGGGCTCTCGTAAGGAATTCGTTAATCGGGGGATTGCTTGTTAACCGAAGTGAAGAATCTTATGGAAGGTAATTCGTTAACCGAAATTTCGTTAACCGAGGGATGACTGTACTCGCGAAGTACAAGATCTTACTGTAATGCACAATTTCTGGAACTTCCGAGGACATTTTTCCGGGGATGAGGGATTTTTTTCCGGCTTTGAGATTGTCGTCTCATTACCCAAAAATCTCTCATTCCCAGAAGTGCTGTGCACTAATTATTCCAGCTAATGGAGATATCACTGTATTAGTACAGTGTATTGAAAACTCAGGACAACACTAACATTTCTGCCAAGGCAAAGTGGGAGATGATAAGTTGAATGTCTGTCTGTTTTTATACAGAAGGCAAACTTCACATTGAGGTACAATACAGTACATGCTGCAGAGTACTTAGAGCTTCTTTCCATTTCCTCCCTTCCATTAGCTGACTTTTAAATCATCGTTAACTCTGAACTAGTATCAACTTATAAATGATGGTTTGATCCTGGAAACCAATTTTATGACAATGATTTTCAACCCAGATCAAATACTGTATACATCTATGGGATGATCTTGAGGGTTGGCTGAGGCATGCTGGAAAAGTGGTTAAGGACTATTTACTGCAAAATCTTTGCTGATATGCTTTTAAAAAATTGTCTCCTTACAATTTACAACAAGAAAAACTTAAAACAAAATTAACACAGTCAGTTTTGGAAATATTTGAGAAAAATTCCTCATACCAAATTAAAGGTTATTGCAATTTCTCAGTGAGAGGACAGCCCTCACAATGAGAGTAGGTTCACTTGTATGTGCAGTAGTTATTAATTCTGTGCATATAATACACAGGTAATTAATCAAACACTTGTTCCAGACATTTAGACTTATAACCTTAAGTTAAAAGAAGATATACGGTAATAAATCACTTCAATTAATTTGGTGTTAAATCGGAATAACACCCCATGGTAATTTTAATATTGAAAAAACTATATAGTGCACCCGAGGTCTTCCAACAAGTTACCTGTATCACACATACAGGGCGGTAGGGTAGGGGTATGTATAGACTTGGCAGAGTTGCATACAGGTGGCTGCTAAAAGTCTGTGATTTTCTTTTCATTCCACAAATTGATTTTCTAATTTAGACATGAGTCAGGCACTGCTCACACTAACAATGTTTGGTAAATACTTCAATACATCAAAATAACCACAAAAAAATCCATAAAAAGTTTAATGTTTGAGGAGACTTTTTACTGCCATTCAGTGTGACATTTGTGAACTCTCCACATGCACCTCAACCCTCCCTCCTTCCCTGCCAAATTCTTTTTAACCACAACTGTACAATCCTATAGTCTACTGTATACTGTACACACCAATGTCTGCATTGTAGATTATAAAAACAAGTTCGATACTAAAAAGATTTAACGTCTCTTACAAAGTTTGTAACGCTGAGTTTGACAATTTTTAGTAAACGAACCTCCACTATGGCCCAGTGCCATGATGGTCCAAATTTTATTATCCAGTCTTATACCATATGTAGGCCTTATTATGCCATAAATTTTCAGCCTGTAGTTATTTTCACCTTTTTTATGGCTTACTGTCTTTCTCATATGTGAAGTTATAATCATGGTTATAAAGATCATGATTTTCAAACTGTTACCATAGCTTATGATTTTCCTGAATCAATAATTGTTGTAAGTGAAATAAAAATTTCATTTCGAAACATTGTAATTTTAAGTTTTCTCACTTAATGGTGTTTGCCAGACAGCTCCTTAGTGTGCACATTTTTTAGAGGGTTTAGGACAGTAGAGAGGCCTGTAAGTGGTAACCTGGAGGTACTGTAATATTATTAATGGTTAGATAAACATGGCTGAATTTACAGACTCCTGACATTTACATGGGAACCTTTATCTCCTATCTATCATGTTAAGTGAGATAATTACAACAGTAAGGAATGGACAATCATAAGTTCAGCTTCCAGCTGTCAGTTAATGACTAGTTGATTCTCCTAGACCTTCATAAAGGGCTTGCACATTACCAGAAGCTGCCTAGCAAGAAGCTTAGCTAGAAAATACAACTCCAAATCAGTGATGTGTGATTTTATGTTTAACAATCCTAAATTTATAATTTTTTTTTATTATATTTTCTTAAGCATACAAACTAGAGTTAAGCTTGACTGCTAAAGGTTAAGGTATGAAGCCCATTGCAGAAGAGGCATGATAGTGTGAGAATGGATTAGCATCTGTGTCCTGTATGGTGTATTGCAGATTACTGTACAGTATAGTGTATACGGTATGTAGAAACTCATTACCGGTAAGTGTGAGACAATGGATTGGTACCAATAGAGAAAACTGTCTTATGGGGTGGATGTGGCAGCCTCAAGCATATTGTCAGTCACATTCTTCTCCTTCCAGCTAATGCTGGTGAAGATTGTAATAAGTCATTTTCTGCGTTAAGCTTATTGACATGTTTTTCTTCCGTGCAGAATAATGCCCTGACTGCAGAGTTGCAGAAGGCTCAGGCAGTGATGGAATCGCTTAAGAAGAGACTGGCTATGTATGAGGCAGTTTAAAATGCCACAACTACTCCCACACCTCTGGTTAGGATTTTGTTGTTGTTGACCCCAAAAATGGAGGTGTTTGAATTTATAACCAGTATGAAAGACAGTCTTATGAAATACACATCATACATCTACTCTTTTGTGTAGCCTTAGTGCACCCACCCACTCAAACCCATCTATATCTTCATTTTATCTAGTCACATCCAACAACCTGTTCACACACACACACACAAAAAACCCACAACCTGTCACTAATAAAGCCATTCATTGCCACTCCCTACCTTATCCACCTTGACAGCCATCATTCTCCCACCCACACTTAATACATTCAACCTAACACAGTTATCTATATAGCAACCTAAACATTCACCCACTAACACTTTCATACCTTTATTATCCACATGGGAACTTTCTTAATCCCTCACCCACATCACTAGTTACTCTTGCTACTATTTACAGAAACACTTAAAAGAGAGGATTAGTAATATGTCATGGCCGGGTCTAGGTTTATGACATACTACCCAGTACTGTACAGAATCTTTCCAACTTATTTTACTTTTTATTTATTTTTTTTTTTTTTGCAAATTAATAAATACTTTCATCATAAAAATAAATCACCAAGAGTAGTTATTATAGAAATTAGTTACAGGTATTATAAAATTTATTTTGTCACACCTTATGACAATTATATTATTCGAGTTTCCGATGTTAAGTTGTAAATTACTTTTAAGGATATTATTGATATGTGGATATGTCATATTTTTTAGCATCTGGTTTACCTAATTGTGTCAATTAGTATACAGTACAGTTAGTGTATTATGTTAGTACACAAAGACAAAAATTGTGGCTGCATAAGATAATAAATTCACCATAAACAGCTAATGCACTGGAGAAACACACTTCATCTACTGTTACAGTGCATTTATTAGCAGTAGTACTTATAGTAAAAAATATTCCAACAGTACAAACGCTTTGAGTTTATTAGGCATACATGTTTACTAGTACAGTATACAGGGGTACTTTATGTTTGAGTGTTTGAATGTTTATATGAGTAGGTGTGTGAGGTAAGTTTTAAACGTAGACATCACGGAACCTCGTCACCTTCATAGCCATCAGTGGTGTTGCAGACCCGGCCATCTCCTTGATCTTGTCGGCTCTTTTAACTATACACTACAGTAGAATGCACCGTAGAGGGAGCCAAGCCGTGCACCCGCCCAATCACTGACGTTCTTTTTCCTTGTTTGTGTCTTTTTACGATATCCAATTTCACGTCCAACGTAACGCTACACGTGATCTCTTAGCAACATTGCTGGGAGTTTTAGTAGCTGGTCGCATAGGCATTGCGAAATCACACAAAACACACCAGCACGTGTGAGACTGCGGCAAGCAGGACCGTATGGCGGAGGAATATGTACACACGCTGTCCTACGCAACGGTTGAGGCGTGCGGTTCAAAATTTTTGGTCGTAAGAATTTGCGAATAGTGGAAATGGGTAACAATAAATTGATTGCGGATAAACGAGGTTACGAATACCGAGGCTACGAATAACGGGGTTTGCCTGTACATAACTTTAATATGGTCATATTGTCGTGTTGAGTTACTTTAATATCATGACACCTATATTGTGTTATTGAGGTGTTTTAATATCGTAATGTTTGGTCCTGTTTGGGTGACCCTCACCTTGACTTACTTTTGGAATACAACCCGATCATATATCAAAGGATGTCAATAATTCTGTGTGATATCTTGATTGACCCAGTACTTGCCATTACTAGATAGAGATCTTGTTTAGTGATGGGACCACCTACTCTAATAACATGACCTGTGCAGAACACATTGAAAAATTGTTTTGCCTGTTTTATGGCAGCTTGGTCAGTGCACATGGTTTGAACAGCTTATAACTATGAACTCCAGTATTGTAGAATGTGCTTGGTCATTCTTTTAAATGTACTGTATTTTTTGGCTTAGAAGACACTGCATCATGGAAGATGCGCATTGATTTTGGAAATTTAATTCTAGGAAAAAACTGTTTATACTTACTAAACGACACCAGTGAAACAGTTGCTTGATATACAGCCCTTTTGACATAAGTACACACACCTTTTTGAATATCATCACTTAGAACTGCTTATCAGTTGTCATTTTCATCAATTTTTAATAAAAAATCTGTATAAGAAGTGGAAATCTTTAATACAGCACTCATTTTCTACACCTGGTCACCTCCACGTCTAGTTGGCTGTAGCGTACATTTTTTCTCTTGTTTTTGTCGGTATGACAACGTTGGGAAATATTTTCCAACAGTAGAAAGTAAGCAAGATGTTTCCTCCACTGAACAGAGATACAAGCTGAGGCCTTGGTGGGTGAGTGAAGTGGCTGATGGGCACACCAAAAAGTAGTTCCTTGTACTGCAATTATGTTAAATAAGTGTTAAAATGACAAAAGAAATTAATGTAAAACTTGGAAAAATATTGAATAGTACAACCTTCTTGATATTTACTCCAATTTTAACAAATGTAAGCCCTAGAACCGATTTCTGTATTGGCGGACTAATCTTCCAGCTGGTGAGCAAGCCAAAGCATGTCAAAACATTTTCGTAAGAATTTCGTTAACCGAATTTTTGTTTGGTAACCGAAATGAAGATTCTTATGGAAGGTAATTCGTTAACCGAGGCGTTTGTTAACCGAGGGACCACTGCATATCAACGTCTAAAGAAAACGAAAAATCTTTATTTAAAAACAAAAAATAAAAAAGCAACTGGGTAAAAATCAGTTGAAATTAAAATTTTTGGTAAGCAAGTATGAAAAAACAAACATTCCTGCACTTTGAGGCCAGCAGACAACCTTTAGCAATTCCTCAATAGATGGCACTGCCGCACCACTGCCATTAGTAAACAAACCACACAGCAGCAAGGGTTGTGTAGCTGCAGCCGTTTATTTTTTTACCTACTGAGTAAGTAAATTATCGTTAATTGGTTCCAGCTCACCAAAAATTACCTACTGTAAGTAAAAAAAAAAAAAAATGCAGTACAGTATACTTACTTTGAGGTGTGTATGCAGAAGGCTCCTGGATGATGATGCTGATGTGAATTTGAAGTGGGGAGTGGAGGAGAAGCATTTTACTGCTTCTTGGAAGGTGAGTCACCTTCCATGAAAATGTCAGGAACCTCTGGACTGACAGATTCTCCAGCAGGAACATCCTCTCTCATTCTTGAAGTGGAAGGCTGAGGGATACCATCTGTTTCCCGATGCCTTTTAGTAAAAAACTAAATTTTTGGTTGTGGGGCATTTCTCCTCATCATTAACTGATGTTTGAAGAAGGAGACCACTCTGTCCTCAACATTACATTACACAAAATAGGTTCTGTTGTTTCCACATCTGGGTGCCTTAAAGCCAGTTTCCTGAACTTATCCCAATAGTGAACAACATCTTTCAAATCTGAAGTAGACATACGGTCATCACTTTCCCTTTCCTCCTCACCACTGTCAGCCTCCAACATCTCATCCAGTTGCTGCAAGTCATCAGGAGTAAGTTCCTGCTCATGAGACATCACAAGCTCTTCCACATCATCCTCCTCCACTTCGAGGCCCAATTACTGACCAATGGACACAATCTCCTTGTCCAACTCTGCTTCTTCCTCAAATCCCTCAAAATCATGGACTGCTGATGGCCACAGTGTTTTCCACGCAGAATTGAGGGATCTAATGGAGACTTCTCGCCATGATGACACAATCAATTGTACAGCCTCCAGGATGTTGAATTGTGTCTTCCAAAACTGTTTCAGTGTTAGTTCAGGATCAGTGGAAGTTGCCTGATGACACCTCCTGAACATTTTCTTCATGTGAAACTTCTTGAAGTTGCTGATCACATTCTGGTCCATTGGCTGTATGATTGATATAGTGTTGGGAGGTAAAAACAACACTGACAAAGTCATATTGAGACTCCAAAGTGCTGGCAAGTTCAGGGTCATGACCAGGAGCATTATCTATAAGAAGAGCCTTTAAAGGAAGGTTATTGGTGGTTAGGTAGCTCTTCTCAGAAGGGCAAAACACCTCAACTGCCCATTCATTAAAGAGCTGTCTTGTCACCCATGCCTTACGGTTGGACTTCCAATTACCTCCAAGCTTTCCTCTTACCACTTTTTGTTGCTTGAACACCCTGGGGTTCTCAGAGTGGTAGACAAGCATAGGCTTCAATCGGAAATCCCCTGAAGCATTGGCACCAAGCAATAGAGTGAGATGGTCTTTCATGGGTTTATGCCCAGGTAAAGAGGCTTCATCTCTGGTGATGAATGTTGTTTTGGGCATTTTCTTCCAAAAAAGCTCGGAATAAACGCCTTGGGAATAAGGACGTTCAGGTGATGGGCAAGTCAAACGGAATGATTGAAACCCGCCTGTTGACGCATTCAATATTTATTGATGTGGTCAAAACCTGCAGAGAACAAGGCGTTCATTAGTATTATATGGTGATCTAACTGATACATAATTAGTTAGTCTCACACAATTTGTTATAATTGATTATTGAGCATAGTGACATAACTCAATTAATCTTAGCTTTGCTTCATTCGGGGGGGGCGCGGCTGAGAGATCCAATGTTTGTTCAATCAAGGCAGCGATCGTCAACAACTGACACCAACATTTATAAGCCAGCGGCAATAACACTCAGTTTTGTCCACATTGAACACTTGCTGTGGAAGATAATTTTCTTCATCCACCAGTTTGTTAAAGTCCACTACAAACTTTGCTGCTCCTTCTTTATCTGCACTTGCAGCCTCACCATGCCTAATAACACTGAAAATGTCACTTCTTTTCTTAAATTTTCAAACCAGCCCTTGCTTGCCCGAAAATCTTTGAACTCTGTGCCAGAAGAACCAGGTTAATCTTCCTTTAAATGTTCGTAAATCTCCCTGGCTCTTTCACAAATAAATTCTGTAGAAACTGAATCACCTTTCATTTGCTTTTCCCTGATCCAAATGAGAAGTAACCTCTCTGTTTCTGATATCAATGATCTACCTTTAAACAGTCTGGTAGATTTGTCTCTCACTTTCACTTCTTTGAACTTGTCTTTCTGTGCAAGAATTGTCGACACAGTTGATGCCGACATGCCATACAGTAGTCTTTACTAAGCACATTTGTCTAATGCCATGTTCATGTTTCTTTATGATTTCCTACTTTACCTGGATTGAAATAACTTTTCTCGATTTCTTTGGAGCCATGCTGGATTCGATTTCAACACTGAAATTTAAGTTTTATTGCTGTAAATAAAGAAAATTTTCTTTAAATAAACACTGCACTGCGCTATATATAATCAATATGTAAAATGTATTTCAAAATTACCAATAATTTGACTGGAAACACAGAAAAAAGCATTTATGTTGAAGAGTATCAAACAAGATGTTCCTTCCTCTGAACCGATAAACAAACTGACGCCAAGCTTGGTGTGTTGAGTGGCTGTTTGGCGCGCAAAAAACTATTTTCCTGTACTTCAATTATGTTCAATAATTGTTAAAATGGCTAAACAAATTAATATAAAACTTTTAAAATTATTGAATAGTACAACCTTCTTGATATTTACTAAAATGGTAACGAATTTAAGCCCTAGAACCGATTACTGTATTTGCGGACTAATACTACAGCCGGTGAGCAGCCAAATGCAAGCGAAAACATGTTGGGTAAAATTTGTAAGGAATTTGTTAACCAAAATTTTTTTGTTAACTGAAGTGAAGAATCTTATGGAAGGTAATTCGTTAACCAAGGCGTTCATTAACCGAGGGATCACTGTACTGTAGAGAACACTTGTAATTGCTAAGTACTGTAATGAGGTAACAGTCTTTGTAAGGGGCTGATTTCAGTTGACCCTAAGAAAACCTCTGCTACACCTCATCAACTAGCGTCATGGAAGACACATGGTAATTTTCAAGGTATATTTTTGTAATAAAAAGTGCGTCTTCTAAGCCGATAAATACGGTAATCTTTGCACCATTTTGAACATCTCGTCATATCTCCCAACATGTTTTCAAACATAATCAATAGAATCATTATCTTAGATGGTCTTTATATACTGTAGTAAGTTTAAGTTCCACAACCATTGCAAAATTAGTTCTGAAATGCAGATAAATATTTGAGCAATAAACAGCAAAGCATTTTGGAAGCTTATTCAGCCAATATGCTTGAGCTGGAAAGGTCAGAAACAATAAATGGTCCCCTATAGATATACAGTACTGTACCGTAATAGTGCAAGATGGTTGTGATGCAAAACACGATGGTGCATCCAGTTTATATTGTCGTAACAAAAAGTAGAACGTGCTTTGTAATTACAGGAGTAATACACAAAATACAAGGCAAGAAAATTTAATTAAATCTTGCCAAATATTGAAACACTGGAGATATATATGCAGAATGTGGCTGCAGTACTGCCAGATGATAAAAATACCTAGGATAGACGTACAGTAACTATTTACAGAAGTACAAAAAAAAAAAAAATTGCCAATAAAATTTTGAGGAAACTGACTAGTCTCTGTTTCCCTTGGCCCACTCCACATGTGAGAATGGTGAACAGATAATGTAGGTATAAAAGTGAAGCTGATGTACGCTGGCCATGATAGGACCTGTGTATCTGGGAACTCAATTTAGCCAAGTAAATATACTGTACTTTAATTATTTCACTACTTGGCCTGTCCCCGAAGATACTTATTTGACTAGTTTCACTATTTTGAACCATTTAACCTTCAAAAATAGGAAGAGTTAAGGAATGGAAAAATTAACACAGAAAAAATAAATAAGAGATAAGAAAAGGGAAGAAAATCGTGCTCTTTTCTGTCTCCTCATCTCTTATGAACCAAAGCCACCAGTGTCACATCTCGCTGCTTTGGTTAACTATCCACTAACCCGGGCCTGAGAAAAGTTGACCTGGGGGTATAATATTGACTCCAGCAGCATATCCCATCTGAAATTTAACTATTCCCAGAAGAACTATCACTGGGGCATTTAGGCATGATTGCGTAACACACGAAGTCAGAAATAACGAAAAAACACGAAGTTCGAGACAATTGGTAAGTGTAAACAAAGTGCAGAGAGGCGGGAATGAGTTGGAGGCAGCGCAATAATTCCCACCACGTCGCCGCCCACCAAATTTAAACCGGCTCCTCCCGCAATCGTCGGATCTCCAGGGTATCAACGAAACTTGCGGGGTATTTTGCCAATATGGAATCGTTGGTTATGCAAATCGGCGGTTAATCTGACGTCAGTTTTTGGGATATACCTGTACTGTATTCAAATCAGTAAGGTAATTTTGATTTATGCATGCAGTATTTTGTTACCGGTAAATTGTTTTGCGGTAATTGTACCTTTACATGAAATCTTGCCGAGCCAGAACAAAATAAAGAAATGACATTATACTTTGTAACATATTACAATGTAGGATATTAATAGTGCAATACTGTACAGATCTTGAAGTCATTACTCATGACCCTTTCTTTACAAAGATTATTATTTACAAGTATTCACTTTTCTGAGACAATATTTTATGGATGTACGGTAATGTATGCTTTAGCCAGTACTTAAATTGACTAACTTGCTCCTTTATTTAAATTACCTTTAAAACTATAATATTTGGTTTCTTTTCATCAGAACTTGGCACTGAGGATGCAGATGGAAAAGATAGTAAAGGAGGTGGATTCTCTGAAGACTCGTCTGGGCAAGTATGAGAAAGTGTAAAGACACCACTACTGTGTATGTGAAACTATGTCACTCAGGATGAGCTTTGCTCACTATACCCTATCTGCATTAGTAAGTTTGATTTTTAGGGTAGAGTAAAAGCAAGTAATGCATATATACCTCGATGTTGAAAACTAAATCAGACCCAAGCAACATAATGTTTAATTGTGTAATGTATTAAGGACTTGGTTCAAGATTTGGTGAAGTTTCCCCTATCTTATTGAGCTGATATTGTTATCATGTTAAACATGAATTGATGCATTAAAGCAAATTAACAACAAAGCTCAAAGCTCTTCATTGTTGTTAGGAAGAATAATTAATACCTTGTCAGGTGAGGTTTTAAGTCTTAAGTTAAAGAAATGTTTGGTCATTATTCATATAAACCTTATTTCATGTATACAAGATAATTAGTGTTGCCTGAGACAGACTAAGTTGTTGGATCTCATTACTGTAGACACCTGCAAAAAAATTTATTGGAGTTCTTGGGTTAATACACTTCTATACTTGACCATAAATGGCCCAGCTCATCTTAGGCAGATCCAGGCAAAAGAAAAGGGGAAAATCTGCACTATAATAGCTATATGTCGTATAGTGATGTGGGTATGTCATGGGCAATCTCTCAAATTTTACTCTTTTTTTCAGAGTACAGTAATGCACATATAACAATCATATCAGAACTTTATCATAAGGAAGTGGTGAAATTTATCATTTATATAACACCTGAATTTACTGTTATACGAAGTAATAGTATAAATTATAAATGTCCAATACCTGTTATAATGTGCAATCAAAAGTGGTGCTCCGAGTTTCAAATAACAAGGAGTTATTCGAGTAAGTCTTTTCACAATTGCTGGAAGACCTACCGTAATGACAATTTATTCTTCTTGGCAAGTGGCAACTTACTTCGTATATGGACAGTACAGTAGTTCCTTACTGTTTCAAGTCCAGAAGGTGAAAATTCCTTACTGATATTTACAGAGGGCCTCAGATAGTGCAGCTAACACACACTGCTCCACCTTATATCAGGTCACCATTAACTTAGAAATCAGCACTGTAAGACAGCCTAGGGGACTGTTTCTTCAGTCTAATTATTTATACAACAAGTTGGGAGATTGTTGTGACATGAAAAGTGATCTGTTGCCTGAGTTAATTTCTGAAAGGTTTACTATACTTGACAGGGATAACCAAGCCTTTCAGATATTGTACCCAGAATCTAAATTTTTGAAAGATGTCAGTCACATCTACTGGGTACTGCTCAGCCAAACAGGGTAACTAATTACAAATGGTTCACAAATGCATTTGCTGTAGGTCATTTCTGTCCAAATTTTAATTGCCCAAACAGGGCCCACTGTGATGACCTATGGTTGTCTTAACTTGCTGATGGCATTTGAAGAAGTATGGGATACATCAGCAATTTAAGAATTCCATAGAAAAATTTCCTATTTTTTAATTGGCTGTTGTAATATATTAGGAACCATATTAATTTGCTGATACAATAGTGATGCTTGCTCAATTATAATGTTGGTCACTTGTACAGTTTAATAAGGTATTGGAGAAGAGAAGTTATATTTTTTGGTGAAAATTTATGTATGATATCTTGAATAATGAAAAAGGTATATTATCTTGATGTACAATATATGTTAACAGTTTTATCTGTAGGTTAGTCGTAGGATACATCGTAGCAAGTAATGTTTAGTGTAAATAGTGTAAACCTTAAGATCAATATTATGAACCAGTATATTGTATGTCATTTCATCATGGATGATTGCATTCACTTGTCACTGGTATTATTTCCTATTTTCATTCCGTCTCTTTTCATAGTGAATCCATTGATCATTGTGTGTATTGATGTTTGTGTTACTCATTTGCCATTATGTACAAGTTTGTTAGTCAGTATTCTGCTTTTAATTAGCCTGTGACTTACTCTCAGATGTTTATCATATAAAGTATAACAAACAAAAGTGTGTCAATGTATCCTCAAATTGTGATGTCAGAAACATTTCTGCTTTTTTAAACACAGTACAGTATAGTATACATACATGGGTATAGATCCCGTCTATAATTTGGTTGGGGGATTTCCTATATAATATATATATATATATATATATATATATTACTGTATAAGTAATGATTACTTATAATGGAATTTTCAAACATTACTGAACAAGATCCGGTCAAATCTAATCTAAAATAATGGACTGACCAGATTGAACAGAAAAACTAATGTGATCATATTATATAACATACATTCACTACACAAGGGACCACAAGATGTTGATACATCGAGACCTAAAAAACACAGTTGATGTGTAGGTGTACATGGAAAGGGATTGGTGGGATCAGAAGCTGGCAGTTCTTGTAAAGATAAAAAATAAGTAAAGAGAATACAGTAGTGAAGATGGGAAACAATGACAAAGCAAACCAGAAGATGGGCCTTGTGTGGCTATGATTCTTCCACGAGGATGCAAACAACCTGACAGTTGTACTAGGCCTCAGTGTGACCACATATGAAGTGCCAATTCTTCAGGGCATCCCCACATATGATGATAAACTTGAATTACACAGGATTACATCATTCATGGGAATAGTCATTTGACACCTTCAAAATGATGCAAAGACCATATAATGGCATTACCAAAGAATGTTAGTTTATGTCCACACATCAAGTTGTGCCAAAATTTCAAGATACAGTGTACTACATTGTGGAACATGGCAAAACAAAATTTCAAGAAAATCTTAAACAAACACTGGATAGGTCTGTATATCGTGTTCAACTACAGAACAATGTATAGCTATATAATGTAGTAGAGCCACAAGTTGGAAATACAGGAACAAAGAGTTTATCCAGAATATTTATTATGTACAGCAATCAAACGGAGTGGTTACTACCGCCTGGGAAGATATAAGAAGCATAATGTATTGTGATTGTTTAATGGTAAACCCTGCTGCCATATGTGACCAAGTTCCAGGTTGATGATCTGACTTACTGCCTCATTTACACACAATTACAGGGTCTCAATTGTTTCACTTTGCCAGCACAATACAAGTACAGTAAAAGTCCAAAAATCCGGATGCCAGAAATCCGGACCACCCGAGAATCCGGACTTTTCGAAAACTCAAACTTTTTTTTAGCTGACTTTTGCGTGAGTGCCACAGCTGCACAGCGACAACAAGCGACCACGTGGTCGCCACTTAAAAATGAGCAATCAAACTGTGGCAACGTATGTAATTTTGAGTCCTACTCTTTCCATTTACAGAGTACTGTACAAGCCCATAATAATGGCTCCTAAAGTAGATAAACTTCGTTGTGTGAAGAGAAAGAAGAACACGTTGAAATTGAGTGACAAACTTGAAATAATTAAGAAACTAGAACGTGGTGTGAGCAATACTGATCTAATGGAAGCATACGACATTGGAAAGTCTACAATTTATGATATAAAAAAGGCAAAGAATAAAATTTTAGAATTCACAGCTTTATCTTTAAAATTGCTCGTTTTGATAAATGAAGCATGCTATATTTGCTAATGAATAAACTCTCAAAATGTATCTGTTCATCTCTTCTTTATTCCTCCTTAAATTTGAATTTTAAAAGTACTGTACTGCCTGAGAATCCGGAAAATCCGAAAACCCAGACCGACCCAATCCCCAGGCAGTCCGGATTTTTGGACTTCTACTGTATATCGTTTCTCACTCTTGATCTTTTTTTTTTTTACTTTTGTATCTACACTATATAGTTCTTTATTATTAGTAGTTTATTATTTTATTTTTATTATAATATATATTTATTATCATAATTATATTTTCGCCCCCTAGGCCCTGATGTGGGTCAGTGACCTGTGCCCGAGTGGGCTAATCCCCGTAAAAAAAAAAGTCGACTATATAAGTCTAACAGGACTGGTGAAAGAGATTAATTTGGGTGCTAAGAAACCAAATAAGCTCTAACCAACATCAGTCGTGGCTCGTACTGTACTGTACTGTACTAAGATTAGCCCTTTACCTTACAACAACCCTATCTCTACTGTACCTTAAAATAGGGATTATCTGAAGGGCCAACAGATAAAAGACTTGGAGGTTTCAATAAAAAGGGACACAAAGCTCCCTCAGCAAGAAAATCCTCCACCCCGGTGGAACCTTCTTCAACCTATAAGTGAAGAGGCAACAGGTGTCCAGGAGGGATGTCACCCAAGTACAGTACTGTATAGATCAATAATAAAATGTTTGATCATCAGATTTTCAAGTAAAAAATCTCATTAATCGCGTATCTCATGAATTAATATTTAAATTGTAAACTTGCTGTATAGGTACTGTAAATAAATGCAAGGGTAAAGCTAGGAAGGTTTGTCTCTGTAGGTCAGAGATTGTGTAGCCAGTGTAGGTGTAACACAGAGTAAATGAGGCAGTTTTTGTCATCTCTACCAATTGTGAACGACCCAATTAAACACGACCCAAATTCTTTGGTGATTCGCCACAAAATTTTCTAAAACGGGTTATGTCAATAAAATTAATAAATAGCCAATTAATTAAACCCTTTGAAGATGATGGTTTAAAACCCACAAACTTTGGGGACGATGGTTTAAGCCATAAACATGAATTATGATAAAATTAACCATTTTAACTTTTTCCAAGTCGTTGTATACCCTGCCCTAGGAATCTTTTAGTTATGAAATGAAAAACACATTCTAGATGACAACAAAGGAATGCATATGAATTTGGCATAACAGTGCTTGCAACAAGAGTAAGGCATTACTGTGAACTATATTTTGATACAAAAGGCTAAATTGTATCAACGTCAATATCAAAATGTAGTTTGAACAAGACCCAGGTGTACATGGGTTATACTCAGGGGGAGGGTAGTGGAAACAAGTGTGCCGACACAGGGCCAGGGGGCAGCAGAGCACCCTCCACCCACTCAACCCCCCACCCGGGAGGCGGCACCAGCTCAGCCTACTGGACAGCAGGGGACGAGCGCCGTGTAAACAATGACATTTCTAACCACACCCTGCAAAATACAGTGTACTTAGCAAATGCTGCAGCTTCTGAGAATGTGGGGGGAATGGGTTTATTACTAAGAGCAGAGACGTTACCAAGAACAAATTCTGGCTTGAATGTCATGTACACTAATACTGACACGTTCCTTGATAAGAGAGAGGAGTTTGAAACACTACTAAGAGTACACCAACCAGATATTGTAGGAGTTGTAGCACTGTTGTACAAGAACAGGAGAATCGACCCAGAGGAATGTGAGTTCAGTATTGCTGGATTTGACTCATTTACGAACCTAACTCAAGAACCCTGCAGGAGGGGTGTGGTTATCTACGCTAGGCAAGACCTCAGAGCCAGCCAGGCGAGGGTACAGGGAGAGGATGTTTTTGAAGAGTCCAGGTGGTGTAAAATTAAATTAAAGGGAGGGGACTTACTTATCGTCGGGTGTATCTATAGATCCCCAAACTGTGGCCCACTAAATCAAAGGAACTTAAGAACCTTAATAAACAATGCGGCGATGCTCAACCCTAGCCACCTCCTTATCATGGGGGACTTTAACTATGGCGACATCGACTGGAGAAACGAGTCCACCCCGAATGACTTGAATAACCCTGCTACTCTTTTTGTAGAAACTCTGAGAGATAATTTTCTGTTCCAACATGTGAGAGACCCGACACATTACAGAGGGGAGCAAACACCCAAGCCACTTGACCTCATCATAACAAACGAGGAGGGTATGGTGGCCAAACTGGAACACCTTGCCCCAGTTGGCACCAGTCACCATACAGTGTTGTCATTCAGATTTAACTGTTACCTAGTTCAAGATAAGGCCAGGCCAAGGTGCAAATATTACAAGGGAAATTACAATGGGATGAGGGAAGAGATGAGGGTTATCAACTGGCCTGACTTATTAAGGTACAAGAACGCAGACACTACGCTGAATATCATAACTAGTAAAATGACCCATTTGATCGATAAATATATACCCAAGACCAAACCCAGTGCTTCTAAGAATACGAGGGGATCACTACACATGAACCATGCGGCGGTCGACAAAATTAAGAAAACCCAGAAATTCAAGACGTGGGTTGGGTCAAACGATGAGCAAGACAGGAGGATGTATGCAGGAGCCAGAAACCAAGCAAAGATAGAGTGAAGGAGTTCCAGAGGCTGGTTGCACGCGAGGTCAAGTCAAACCCAAAGGCGTTTTACCGCTATGCAAAGTCGAAATTGAAAACGCGAGTAGGAGTATCAGACCTGAGGCTTGAAGATGGTAGTTGTGCAGATTCTGACCAGGATAAAGCTGAGGCATTGAACAGCTTCTTTTCCTCAGTGTTCACAAGAGAGGATGCAACTAACCTTCCTGCGTTTGAGGACAGACGGTTCGACATAGCACTGACCCACATTGTGTTCACAGAAGAGGGTATTAGAAATAAACTGTCCAGGCTAAAGGTCCATAAGAGTCCTGGACCTGACATGGTGCATCCTAGAGTGCTAAGAGAGCTGTGCAACGAGCTTGCAGAGCCCCTGAAGATCCTGTTTTGTAAATGCCTGGATGAACAAATGGTCCCCAGTGAATGGAAAGTGGCTTATGTGAGTCCTATCTTCAAGAAGGGCGACAGTCACTCCACGAACAACTATAGACCGGTGAGCCTGACCAGCATAATATGTAAAGTACTTGAGAGTATTATCAGAGATGCCGCGATGGAACATCTACTACGAAACAATCTTGTAAAAGATTGCCAACACGGCTTTATGCCGGGGCGCTCTTGCTTAACACAATTGCTCAAGGTATTGGATATTTGGACCCATATCCTGGAACGGGGTGGTAATATCGACAATACTTACCTAGATTTTGCCAAGGCTTTCGACAGTGTACCCCACGAAAGGCTGAAAATCAAACTGGAAGGGTACGGAATTCGGGGAAATGTCCTAGCGTGGATAGAAGACTTTCTACATGACCGCAAGCAGTGTGTGGTGATTAATGGCACGAAATCGTCATCTGTACCTGTAACAAGTGGGGTACCACAGGGCAGTGTATTGGGCCCGCTGTTGTTTGTTTGTTTCATAAATGACATGCCTGACGTTGTACACTCCTCCATACAAATGTTTGCCGATGATGGCAAGTTATTTCGGGAAATTAAGAACCAAGCGGACTGTGAAGAGCTGCAGAAGGACCTCTGTGGGCTCCAGGAATGGTCGAAGAAATGGCTGCTGAGATTCAATGTCACGAAGTGTAAGAGGATGCACCTGGGGCGTACCAACGGTAAGGAGGCGTATCATATGTCCCAACGGGATGAAGAAAATGCACTAGTTGAGACTGTGTGTGAGAAGGACCTAGGTGTGTATGTTGACAATGAGCTGAAGTTCTCGGGCCATTGTGAGAAGAAGGTAAATCAGGCAAATAAATTATTGGGTCTTATAAGAAGGTCGTTCAGATATCTAGACGGTCCGTCCCTCGTAACGATCTTCAGGAGTGAAGTGCTTCCCCATCTGGAGTACTGTCACCCCATCTGGTCCCCGAGATATGCTAGGGACTGTCAGTTGGTTGAAAATGTTCAAAGGAGGGCCACCAGACTGGTGCCTGCACTTCGGCACCTCAGCTACCCTGAGAGATTGGAGCGCCTGAACTTGCCTAGCTTATACTACAGACGGGCAAGGGGGGACCTAGTTGAGGTGTATAAGCATCTCAGGGGGCACTACTCAGTTGAGTGTCCTTACTTGGAGCTGGCGGACGCTCGCCCCACAAGGGGTCACAGATCAAGATTGAAGAAGCCGCAAGTCCAGAAAACCGTGAGGGCAAACTTTTTCTGAGTGAGGGTTGTAAACTCTTGGAACAATCTACCAAAGAGTGTTGTGACGGCACCGAGTGTGAGCTCTTTCAAGAGAAGACTTGACCAACACTAGAGAGGGTTCAGGCACATTCAGGAGCCGGTGCATGCCCAGTATTTGCCAACAGTGCGTGACAGAGACTTGACCGATCGCCCGGGCAGCTAGCGAGCCGATCTTTTGGTGAAGAATATAAATGAAAAGAGACGTGACCGATCGCCCAAGCGGCTAACAAGCCGATCAGTGGCGAAGAGGATAAAAGAAAAAAAAGAAACAATTACAACGCCAAATTCAGCCAAGATAAAATGTTGAATAATTATAATAATTACACTAACATTTCAACGTCATAAACAAGCAAAGGTTTGAACAACAGTTGGCGAAGGTTTGGCAACGTCCCTGAAGTTGGTTAGTTACCAAACACTGCCTGGGTAACAAAGATGCGTGGATCATTATTCTTACTTAAACAACTTATATGTTTATCCAGGTTGATGCTGGTGCTACAAGAATTAAATTTTCGAACTTTAATATCAATGCATAATTTCTACCAGATACATCTACAGTATACTGGGTATACGCACTCATGATGAAGTGCGAACCTTTGTTGTGGTACAATTTACCTGTATGGTGCTGCCTCTATCGGCCAGGTAAGGAATCAATACAACTGTTCTAATTAGTCGAAGACTTCATCAGTGTAAGACAAATACCTGTGATTACATAGATTTTTAAAGATTAATAGATAAAAAAGGACTATTAGTGTTTCATCTGAGCCATGAGTTCGTGAGTGACTACAACAGAGGGCACAAAGTGAACACACAGGCAGACGAAGCCACCGTCGGCGCAAACGTACACAGCTACTTGGGTTTAAGCATCCGCTCTGGATGTCAGTTCCTGGCCCTGCCGCCCTGCGGCCCTCAGGCGGGCCCTGGTAAACGACAGTGTGTGTTTGACAATGTGTGCGGAAGGGTGTTGTTGCGCGGGTCGGTGACGGGAGACATGGCGTCTGTACACAACCCAAGAAAGAGCGGTTTGCCACAGGTCAGATTAATATCAAGTGTGTGTTTAGTACTATGGTGTGTGGTAGGAGTGAGCGAGTGTCAATTTCGCAATGACCGTGATCAGGAGTACAACCGCGAGCTGGACTACTACTTCTACAACTCTAGGCGAGACCAACCCCCACCTTACTCCACCCAGCCTTCTGTCCGCTCCCGCTACAATAGCGGTGACACCTACTACGGCACGGACCGTCGCTACGACACCCGTTACGACGATCCCTCCAGAGTGCGAGGGTTCGACAACAAGTTCCTGGAGCCAAGTTACAACTACGGCGATGACACAAGTGACACGCGCTACGTCAACTCACGCTTCGACTCAAGGGGCCGCGAGCGTCCAGGGTATGACGGGGGCCTCTGGGACAACCGACATGACAAAAATTTCGGTGTCCTGGACGGCTGGAGACCCGACTTACAGGGTGAACAACGCCCCTCAGAGAAACCAGGTGCGTGCTGCCCCCATGTAGACGTAGAGACGTAGAGTGAGGGGCGGTATGATCTAGGTGTATAAAGGTGTATAAATGGAAGTCAGAGCTAAACAAAGGTACTATCTAACCAGGAGCGAACTCGTAGCAATGGTTTTAAATTAGACAAATTTAGATTTAGGCGCGAGATAGGTAAACACTGGTATGGAAAGAGTAGTGGATGAGTGGATTAAGTTACCAAGCATCATCATTAACTCGTATACGCTGGATAGCTTCAAACATAGGTTGGATATACAGTATGAGCGATAGGGGTTGGGTGTAAATGGGACTGCCCAGTATAGGCCAATAGGCCCGCTGCAGTTTTCTCCATTCTTATGTCCAGGTTAATAATCACTTCCTACCATCCTAACTCTCTGATCATCTATTCCTTCAACCACTTAATTACCACCCACCAGTACACAACTACACAAACCTAAGACATTAACAGTGGTAGCAAGCAGTACAGTACAGAAACGATACACTAATTCCAGCCAAACGCGTTACAACACAGATGCCACTCTCCGGTACTTTACAACAGTCTATACGCATTCCACGGTATAATCTCTCAAAACAAGTTCACGGGGTGAAGGTTTCGAGCGTGTCGTGTCCGTCTTGTGAACTCTTGATGGAATGGTGGTGGGATTATATATTGTAACTTGACAGTAGATTAGGCATCACAGCTTATTTCACGTAACCATCATAACACTAACCTAACTCCCTCTCCCAGATAGTGTGCTTAATCATCGGGAAAAATAGTGCCAAATCTTCACGTGATCCGCCACTATACAACATGTGACCGATGTTGGAGACGATTTTGTCAGGATGTTTGATGATATTTAATTATCTTGATTATTATTTGTATCCTGACACCAGTGAGATCTCTGTGCCTGTACTGGTATGTCTGAATGAATTCAGCGACTATTGACCAATACATCTTACACACTCACACAAGCCACGTCATAGCTGAGTGGGCGAAAAACTGTGTGTAAGACCTGCATAGCAGTGTTGGTTGTGAGTTGTGACATTGCAGTGTGGGAGTCCAACACACGCACACACACACACACTGAATCACCTTTAACTTATCAAGGTTCCGGGTGGTAGGTGATAAGGTGGAGATAGTGACCAGACAACACTCGCTCACTATAATGTCACCCGGGTTGTGTTGTAGGTCACATGTTCACAAGACTGGGAGGGAAAATGTGTAAGATAAAACTCGTAAAACGGACGTCAACAAACCATGACAAAGTGTGAGCAGAGGATAAAGAAAGGATGAATAATTGGAGCTCTGGCGACTTTGGAAATGTTTAATAATTATAATTAACAGTACTGTATTAGTAAGTAAATTAGGTTAGGTTTGCATTAGGGTGTTTAGTCATCAGGTGAAATAAGCAGGGCTGCATAATCTTCATGAGATCCAAGTCCGAACAGATTTGGGTGGAATATGTTAGATTATGTTAAACTGGAATAACGTATAGTAGTTTAGGTGAGGTTGAGATAGGCTAGGCTGGGGTGTGTCGACACTGGGAGGAGGATACACTCAACTTACCGCCCACTGTTACCTACTGCCCCGCCCTCCCCGACATTAATGGCAGGAAAGGAAGTGACACACACAACGTATTCAAGCTCACTCCAGCAGTCAGGATTAATATTCTACACTAACTGCCGACGTGGCGGCGCCTCGAACCGACTCATTCAAGTTACAGCGCGTTAAACGTAACGGCTGAAATGGTGTCGAAATTGCAGTGAGACTACCGTTCACTCAGACTCGGTTCATATAGTGAAAATTTTGAGTAGACGGTCCAAATAGAACTTGAAAGGGCTAGCACAGCTTATAGTTCGTTGAAGCGGATTAAAATACATGAAGACCAAGACCTTGGCAAATAAAACAGTCAATAAACTTCCGTAAAAAGGACAAATGCCACAACCATAATGATAACAAGAATCCTGGGAATATCGTATGGATTATAAGTGGGTCTCAACCTAGGTTCTCACGCACACAGTGGCGGGAGCACAGTAAGCTAGGAGAGGGCGCCAGCTCACACACACACCCCTGTTTCTTCCCAGCCTCAAGCACCTCTACTGGCGCTGTGTTGTTGACCTGCACAAAAACCAGCCACTGGAATTATCCTTCACCATTATAACACCAACTAATGTTACCGTCCTTGTAACAATACCCTCCAATTTTAATAATTTTAGGCATAAACCTCCCCTTTTTTCCTGTGCCCGGGTGGGCTAATTCCCGTAAAACAAAAAAACGTACTTTATTAATTTATGCCGCATAAAGTTTGGTGACGATTTTCTCTCAGTGAAATTTGCCTCTATCCATTTTAATATTTCTAGGCAAGAACGTCGCCAGTTTATATTTTCCAGACAGAAACAAACTTATAAGACTTCTAAAACATTTAATAAATTACCTTAGATGTGCTTACCTGGTTAGTATCAGCGTTTGACAGATGAGATGACTCCAGCAGCCTGCCATTTGCAATGACGGCAGCACAGCTTCTGCAAATGTAATATGACTGGAAACAGCTTTTGCAAATATCATAATATGGTCCGTAAAATCAATAATGTAAAAAAAAATATATTTATAAAATTACCAATACGTGTTTCTTTGTAGATTAATCGTATTGACTATAAATATTCAATAAAACTAACAAAACAATTATGAATAGAGTGGCGAAAAGCAGCTACCTCTTCAAATTTCAGTAATATTAGTTTTCCCTCCACCACACTCCACCGTGCGCTGCAGTAAAGGGCCTTCACATTTAAAAATACGGTTTTCGACACGAGGATCCTTCTCAGGGGAAGATGTTGTTTAATAATACGGGCGTGATGTGGGAAAGTGTTAATGGTGGTGAGAAGGCGGTGGTAGTGATGGTGGGAAGGCAGTAATGGTGGTGGTGGTAAGATGGTGGTAGTGATGGTGGGAAGGCAGTAATGGTGGTGGTGGTAATGGTATGGTGGTGGGAAGGCGGTGATAATGATGGTGGTAGCAACAGTGTGGCAGGATATTGTACCACCCACTCCTGCCACCAGCGTTCATCACCCTAGACGGAAACTGACAGCTGTGATCTGGTGCCGGACACTTAGTGGGTGTTTGTGCCGGATATATTATTGTTGTTATTAATGTTATTGTTGTTATTATTATTATTTTTATCATTATCATCAACATTACCATTGGTAGTATCACACATATAACCACCACCACACTCATTGATCACCATAATACCACTTTATAATATCAAACGTAAATCATATAATAACACTCTCCCTCCTTCACCCCCCCCACCGCCTCCTTCAGGTTTTAACTTACCCCTGGCGGATCTCTTCGTGACGACTGACAGCGGGAAGGTTCAGGGGTTTTATGTCTACCTATACGACAAGCCTGGAGTTCGACCCGATGAGCGTCCCGTCAGCAAGCCCATTCACCAACAGCGACAAATCATGAATGTCTCCACCTTCCTCGGTATTCCCTACGCCAGGCCACCGATCATCGAGGGACGCTTCAAGGTGGGTACTGTTTGTGTTTTTTTTTTTCTGTGTTTGTACGTGTTTCGTGTGTTTGTCCCTCAGCCCAAGATTACAGCACACACACAGAGGATGGGGGGATGACAGGAAGGAGGTGGTATCCCTTTCACGTGCTCTACTTCCCATCTCTAGTTACACTCCTTTAACCATTTCTCGTTTACCCTTCCTTTCTCTACCCTTCTCTCCTTCCCTTTCCATCTCCGTCTCCCTCCTGTTTTCTTCTTTTCCCTCCATTCTTTAACCCTTTCTCCTCCCTCTATCTTATCTTCTTCCCTTTCCATCCTCCCCCCCCCCTCTCCCCGTCAAAGACCAGTACTGATAAGCGTTATCTAGAATTCAATTGAGGTTCAGGCTCTTCTACCAACACCCGCTACTACCTGACTGACTAACCACACATCCTCACTACCACGTTCCCTGAGTGAGTTGTTCTTGCACTGCCACGTGACCACTGGGACACACACACAGGTACTTGAAACACGATAACAAACTGCTCATCACACCTGTAGATAAGACACCCGAGCTTATTTCACCTGTAGTATTAACCCAACCTAACCTAATCCCTCCTTTGTAGCGTTGGTTAGTGACGAGGTGAAGTAAGCTAGGGTGTTTAATCTTCAGGTGACTATCATGATCCAAAATACAATCAATATGCTTTTAATATCCTGTTAATATCTTAGTTTGTGTGTGAGAGAGAGAGAGAGAGAACACCTGCTTGTCCTACCTACCCACCTGACACGGTACAATTAACACCAAGTGACATATTTATTAAAAGTTTCACATTAATGACACGACAAAAACTTAATGCCTCACGACCATTTTGTGTGCGAGGTGGAGAAAAAGTGATCACTCGAGTGTGGTGAGGTGTAGGAGGAGGGTGTCACGGTGGGGTGGTGTAAGTGGACGCGGTTGGGTGAGTGTACTGGGTGGGGTGTAGAAGTCCAAAACACTTACTCTAACCTCCTCCTCCTCAACCACCTCTCACACACACGCACAGTACACACCCTCTACTTACGACGCCAATATTCAAGGACATACTTGGATCACCTGAAGACTAGCCCCTCCCCTTAGGTTAGTTCACCTGATGATTAAACTCCTTTACGCTACCTGGGAAGGGGAGGGGGGTAGGTTAGGTTAACGTTAGGGTGATTAGTCTTCAGGTGAAATAAGCTGGGAGTCTAATCTTCAAGTTGTTTACGATATACAAACACCTGTGTGTGTGTGGGGGGGTGGAGGTAGCTGAGTAGATAATTTGCGTCTTCCTGAGCATTCACCTCTTCCCTCCCCACGCACCCGGTCTTGGAAGAACCACTGGCCAGCACTAACAGGCACAACACCTCTCTCCTCCTACTCCTGTTGCTACTCTTAATAACTATCACTATTACTACTGTACTACGCGAATAGTACCACCACTACTACTACTACTACTACCACAACTGCTACAACTGCTACAACTTCTACCACCACCACTACTACTATTTCTACTACCACAACTACAACCATTACAACTACTACTACTAAAAACAATAACATCAGCGGGAAAGTTGTACAATGCATTACACATTTTCACACAAGCCTCTCATTGTTTACCGAGGCCTTACACTGGACCGACACACCCCACAGTAGGACCTCCAGAGTGACTTGTGTCCAGAATCCTACACTCACGTTCACTGGCTGGTGGAGTTGTGGTTGATTTTGGTGATCTCTCTTAAATCCATCTATATTTATTATCAGGTTATCAAACAAATCAAAGGTAATGGTCTTAACTTCAGAGAAAATTAATCAACTATGAGGCTAACTGAAGTCCCGTTTTCTGTGATGGAAATTGAGGCACGTATTTCATTCGCCTTTTGTCTCGGTCACATTTTATTCTTCAAAAGATTTCTCCGTTGTTCCACCGTGCATCACACACCAGGATTATGACTGGTAGGTGGGTGGGTGTTGAGGGCGCACCACCAACTTTCTAAAACACATTACGGTAGTCGTAACTCTGGGCTCTTGAAAATAGACCAGCAGGATCCCGTCTGCCACACCGACTGACTCAACTAATTTCTGGGTCGCTGATGTGAGTTCCCGAGACAAAATATTTATGTGTTTACAGACAAGTATCATCTTTGCCTTACATAACCTCTGAGTATATAAGATCACCTGAATATTAGACATGATATCTAATTTCACCTAAAGACTAACTTAACCTAACCTAATTCATCCCCATGCAGGTAGCGTTAAGGTGGTTGATCTCTAGTAAAATAACCTGGGGGGGGGGGGTGCAGTAGTTTTCAGGCTCATACACGTGTGGGGTCCTCACACACGATCCTCTAGTGTTTGTAAACATTGGTGCGGCACATCAGCTGATCAGACAAACTACCTCCATCTTTGTTTAACATTCCTTGAGTGTTGTCAAAAGATCTTCCTGACAACACACATTAGTAATGGCGGTAATGGCCTCTGGTATGTTAACACTGCCGCCTCCACTACCCTATAATGACAACAACACAACCTAGAAGTAGCGGGTCAACTGCCATGAGGATGTTCCGGGTCGAGCACTCGTGACCCCACCACTCTCACCCCCAGCAAGTCAGCGGAGACTTGTGCAGACTTAAGCGAGAACAGTTATGCGTCATTGAAATTAGTGTTGTCATTCGCCCCCACAAGCAACATACAGTATTTCCAGAACACCAGAAATCCAGTATAATTTTCAACCACTTAGCCAGAGTATTTTCTAGTCACCTGTTATAACGTAGAGCAGAAAAACACAACACTGGTAAGGTCGTGTTCTCTCACGCTCTCACACTTAAGCACGTGTGAGGTGTTGAGAACGGTGGTGGTGGTGGTAGCGAAGTGGTTTTGGTTTGGCGATGGTGGTGTGTTAAAGAGGTGGTGTTGGTAGCTGTGGCGGTGAGCTGGTGGTGATGGTGGTTAGAAAAATATGTGTGCCGTGGCCGCTGTTAACAGGACCAGTGCCAACCACACACAGTCACTCAGGGTAATACCATCATCACACCCCACTCCTCTCCATCCAAACTCTCCAATTTCTCTGAACTCTACAACTCTCTATTCAATTTTTCCAGGGTTTTGGAAGCCTACCTCGCCACAGAGAAGAAACTCACACACACACACACACACACACACGTCAAGCAGAACATGTGGTCGAATTCGTTACTGGTTTACGATGGTTCAGTGGGCCGCATCAGCCACTGTCAACACCTTTAACATGATGTAACACACGATGGGGTACCTAACGAGGGAGACCTGATGACGTGTGTGTGTGTGCGTGCAAAGTCAGTGGTAAGGAAGGACTGGAGTTTTATGAGTCGAGTCGTATCAACTTAATATCGCCACAGTTCACTAAACCACACACACACACACACACACACACACACACACACACATACTTACATACATACATACATACATACATACATACATACACGCACACACACACACACACACACACACAAACACACACACACACACACACACACTCCTAATCCCACCAGGCAACACTTCCATTGGGTAGGTTGGGTGAATGGGCTGGAGTGGAGGAAGTGGGTGGGATGGGTGAGTGGGTTGGGTGGAGGTGAGGGTTGGGTGGAGGTGAGGTGGGTTGGGTGGAGGTGGGTGAGGAGGTGAAGTGGGTGGAGGTGAGGTGGGTGCGGTGGTAGTTAGTGAACCTGTAACGTAATGCCGGATGTAATTAACTGACCACCAGGTGAAAGAGGGACACACACACACACACACACACACACACACACACACACACACACACGGCAACACCCACTAGTATTACACATACCTCCTCTTGTGTGTGGGAGGAAGGGAAGTGTGTACGTTAGGTGATAATCTATGACTGTATACACAAATCCACACGTACACACACGGTATTTAATCATTTGAAATAAATATGTGTACCTTTATCTACACGTAATCATGTATGTTATTCTCAAGACCCATTTAGTAACTATACAACGTGTGTGTGTGTTCCCAGGAGGTCATCATTCTCCCGTAAAGTTCACTATCATGGTCGCTGACACACGGCCCCTTAAGACGTATTGCATGACAGCCTTGGTCCTGAACAGTGTTTGTGATAATGATAACGTATAAGACAAATTACCGCCAACTTGACATTTATTGATAAGAACAGACCTAACATTTGGTGAAATCAAAGTTCTTCCGAAGTTGTTGCCGCCAAATTATTCCCGCTAAGTCGTTCCTGTCAAGTTTCAAGGACAAGTACCCACCTTTCCAAAGTTTACCACGTTCAGGTACGGACACGGACGCTAAACGGACACAACCACACACCGTCGATTCCATTATACGTATACCCTGTGATATAATAATTACATCCACTAAATTTAAGTTATATTAAAAAAATTCAGTAATTAACACGAGGCTCAGACAGGTGTATCTCGACACAGGTAGGAGTGTGTGTACAGGACAGCTCAACGCCGAAATCGCTGCAAGGGAAAATTTGAGTAAACGAAGTGTGTGTGTGTGTGTGTGTGTGTGTGTGTGCTGTAGCCCCCATAATCAATGATCGACCCGCATACACACGCACCTGGCGCCGCGCTAAACCCTGAAGCAGGTATTGTCGTCTACACACACCAGCCATACTTATACAACTCTATACACTCTTTCCTTTAGCTACGTTATAAACTCTCCCACACCGACCCCCCCCACACACACACACCCCTTAACCTGTGAGTCTTGAATGATACGTGACACCTGGCCCTCTTGGGGGTGACGTCATACAGGTTACCTCACTTGTCTGTGCTGTACCTCAGGTTGTCTCACTTCCTCCTCTGCTACCACTCCTTACACTCCGTCTTCTGCTAAATTATTGCCCCAGGCCTGAGTGACGATGGATTACTGATATTACAGAGCACAAATTACTGCTGCAGACATAATAATTCGGTTGACTTTATATGTAATAATTTGGTTAACTTTACACTCTGCTTGTTGTGTGTGTATGTATACGTCTGTCTGTCTAGCTTGACTGGTAGGACAACTGTTGTAGGATATGGAAATTAGCTTAAGCTTATTTAACTTTAAGTTTAACCACCCTAACGCTAACCTAACCCACCCTTCCCTAACCTAACTTACCCTCCTCAGGTAGCGTTAAGGTGTCCAATCATCAGGTGTAATAAACTGGCCAGGAGGAGGTGGTGGTGGGGGGTCACATGTCATGGAGTCTCGTTATCAACTGGCTTCGAGATGTGGTTAGAAGATGCTTGGTTTAAAATTCCCTCGTCACTAAGAGATGTAAAGACTCATTAAACCAACAACCACTAAACCAAAACAACTTAAAAAATAATCATAATAACACAATGATTCTACCTTAAACTCTTACATCATCTTATGGTTAGTTAGTGGAAGGTGAATGACGTGTGAATCAATAAGAATGAGAATCTCTTTGACGGACGTGTTGAGGTGAATACAAGAGAGTACAACAAGGGTGTGGTGGATGACTAGTGTTTACCTGTGGGTGTTGGTGATACTAACAAGGTTGTGAGTTTTCGTAATGTCAAACATACAGTGAGTCAGGAAGTAAATTGAATCACCATGATGTTAGACACCCCAGCTTATTTCACCATGAGATTAGACACCCCAGCTTATTTCACCGTGAGATTAGACACCCCAGCATATTCCACTTGAAGATTAGACACCCCAGCTTATTTCACCGTAAGATTAACTTAACCTAACCACCACCACCCCACATATGTATCGTTAGGATGGTTAATCTTCAGGTGGAATAAGCTGGGGTGTCTAATCTTCAAGTGAAATAAGCTGGGGTGTCTAATCTTCAGGTGATCCAGTATATGGTAGCATAGATTGCAGTCTTCGCTCAGCTTGACTCACTGACGGACTAAGTATAATTATTCAAATGAAACCGCCGCGTTGCTTCATATCTGATTAATTAAAGTATGTGGATCACGTCAGTACCCACACACACACACACACCTTTGACACCAAAGTCCTTTAGTCACCACCACTATCACGCTCCCACCACCACGCTCCCACCATCACGTTCTCATACAAGTCAATATCAACCACATTCATTCCTTTAACACACCCAACCTCATCTAATTCTGTCACTATACATAAACACGGGACTTGTATTAGTCTGTGTATGTTATGTTCGTTGGTTATATAAGGTATTATCAGCTGTGATGGTGACTTTATCAGCAGATGTCGTTGGGCGGCGTGAGATAGTAAGATAATTAGGGGCTGGCTGGCTGGTTCTCCCTCACACACACACACCAAACACACGCTGTCCGGGAGTGAGTCATTAGGTATGCTGGCACATGGTGATGGGACATACCCTGGTATTTCCCTCACCCTACCTCTCTCATTCCCTACATCCCTCCCTCATCTCATTCATCCTCTGTACTTTCCACTCTCAAACTTATTCTCTCATCTCTCATATTCATCATCCCATCTTTTTTACTCCTCACGTCTCACCCTCACACCTCACTCTCCTACCCTCACACTTCCACACTATACTTTCGACTGTCTACGTGACCTTACTTTCACTATTATCGGTGTTGTATGCAGAGCCGTGAATCCATGACCCAGTTGCTTCGGATCTCTTGTAGATTAATCTCCCCTCCCTCCCGACAGTTAATTTTCACCTAGAGAGTCAGTAACACAGTGCGAGGCGAAATAGTGTTTAGTTAACTAGTACGGTGTATTATTAGACTACAGTATGTCTTTATACACAGTTTTATCAAAATCCTTTTATATCTGTTCGGGTTATCACGTTTACCAATCTGATTGACAGACACACGGATTGGCATCATTTCCTCGAGACTGAATGAGAACAAACTCAACCGTACGATCCACCAAATTTATTCCAGTGTTAAAGTCTGCATCGTGTTGACTTCTTGGAAAATGTAAAAAGTGAAAAACATTTGATAATTTTAAAATCTCGTTAGGTTGAGGGATTTTTGTTAGGCAGTTATTTCCTGGCGGGTCTGTTAGGGACGCCAGCTATACAAGAATGTGTGTCAGGGTATCTCGCCCCACCTTCCACTGCTGCACCTGTCTCACAATTTTTTATCTAGTCTGGGAGGATCAACCGTTGGCTCTTAATAACGTAATATTTAATAAAACATAAATCCAATAAAAGATCCCGAGAAAAGTAATCTAGAGAGACTCACAACCGCTACAAATGGTTGTGTTCATTTGAGTATCACGCACTTTGAAATTTTAATACGTCACACCATCCCCAGCAAAGTTGAGTGGCGTTGTAAGCCCGATAGTGGGGGACGGTAGGAGGGGGGAGAAGGAGGGTGTGTGGGGAAGGGGTTTCGGGGGTGGGGGGCGGGGTGAGGCAGGACAGAGGGAAGGAGGAGGTGGCTAGGATACCGTTGAGAAAGATGAGTTTTGACAAGCCAGAGGATGCTAGTAGTGGTGGAGAGAGAAAAATTAAGAGGTGTATGTGTGTGTGTGTGAGGAAGATGGGTGAAGCCACAGCGGAGGAGGGTGGGGGTATGTGGGGGAAAAGACACCACCTCAAGGGCACATGAGGTAACTCACCCATCAACAAGGAGGAGTGGTGGTCATGTTAATGGTCGGAAAACGGACATAAGGCTGTGCTGTGGAGATATTCAACGCATAATGGGCTTGGGGAGGAGGGGAGGGAGGAAGTAGCGGGTAGAGGGAGGAGGCCAGCTAGCCACAGCGTCTGGGTAGTGCTGGGTCCACCACTGGCGGCCACACACCCACCATTGTCTAACATTCCACATCGTTTCTTTGTCTTCTTATCATTAAGCTAAGACCATTTAGTAAAGACTTTCATTTTTTTTCTATTTGGAAGAAATGATAAAGTTTTCGTGGTATCTTTTCTCGTCATCATTGAGGTGTCCTTGAACTCAATGTCCTGTCCACATTAAAGGTCAAAACGCTATGGTTATTTGTCCATTCTTCTGCTACTTGCACGGTATTAAGAGGCCATTTCACTGCTTACAACGCCATTATAGACGCCCTGATGCACTACATAACAGACCTTTAAAACGACGCATTTCAAAACCTCATAATCAAAACATACGTACCATATCTACCCGAGAGGTATAAAAATAAAAATTTTAAACGTGTATAACGCTACACATATTCCACGGTCAAAATATTTCCTTCAGAATATTCATAAAAACATTCTGAAAGGGAAACTACGTACTGTACCAAGCGCCCTTTCACACACGGCGTATGTGTTGCGTAGATGTGGCAGCAGTGCGAGGTGATGGGGGACTTTCACTGTACGTAGTGTGCTAAGACAAACGTTTGTGAGCGGACCAGCTTACTACAGGCACCCCCCTCCCCTGCTCCACTTGCCTGTTGGTGAATATTAACACAGAAAGTAAAAGTGGTGGTGTGTATGTGTTGAGCAATTGACAAAGTGACTATAGTTAGTAATTTACAGTGATGATATGTCTTTTTAATGGGTATGGGATTTACTATGATGACATTTTCATCGACAATTCTAAGATTAAAAACCACTAATGTATTGTATAATTTTATTCCCATGGATAGTTATTTAAGGCAGCGTTGAATATTGATTTTTTGGACTACTTTAGTCGATTACATTACATCTCACTTGGACGATCGTTTGTTTTATTTGATTTAACGTAACGTAGCTTAACTTAACCTAACTTGAACATTTAACTAACAAAGTAAAAATCGCATTAAACAGACGATTGTCTTTTGGGGTAATGTTTTTGGCATGTGTTTCCCTCAGCTCCCAGCCATCACCCCGGTAACTCCTTGTCATATTTCTCAACATAACTACAGTGCACTAATAAACTTACCACTCCTCATTTGTACTTAACCAACACAACATTCCACTATTCAATACTTACCGCTGGCCTTCGGGGTACCGTTCTCATATCTGAGGGTTGGCGACCACAGTCCTCCACTCTAAACGTTCTCTGGCTTTTTTATCGATCCTCTAAGGTTTTGTATCTCTGGGGACACGGGTTTTAATTTCATTCATCCATCCCAGTCTCTGCCTTCCCCTGGCCCTCCTACCCTCAACTTTGCCCCTTAATATTTCTGTTATCTCCTCATCCTTAATTATATGACCAAAGTACTGTATCTATTTTTTATGTACAATTCAAGTATTAATCTTGAACTTTTTGCTAAGCTTTTGGTCTTTACAGCCGCCACGACGTGTGGAGAACTGGTACAGTACCTGGCAGGCGCTGGACTTTCAGAGCGCTTGTCCCCAGAACCTGAAGTATGTGGGCACCTCCAACGGCATCAGGAATGGCATTAACGAAGATTGTCTCTACCTCAACATCTTCACCCCCTCGGTAGGTCGACTTCATCTATCTATCAACTTTACATAGGTTATATTACCATCGTCTTCAAAGGGCTGACAATAATGGAGTTAACTTTTGTTTTTTTGTTTATATCATGTGGTTAGGTTAGATTAGTCTAACTAATGTGTGTATGTCTATGTATGCAGGTATCAATCAAGGTGAACGATCAGTACCCAGTAATGTTCTATATCCACGGCGGGGACCTGGACCATGGCGCCAGCAACCAGTTCCCCGGCCACCTGCTGGCAGCCTGGGGGGAGGTGGTCGTTGTCACCATCAACTACAGGCTTGGTGCCCTCGGTGAGTATTTCTTCGTGGATTTAGAGTAACAGCACAGGAGAGAAAGACAAAACATATGCAGACAACAAGAGAAGCCAAGAAGACCGTCACCACCACTTCCCCACCTTATACTGACATGTTTCAATAGTTGCTGTTTGCTGACTGTGAAAATCTTATTACTGTACCTTAGTCCCTTATTATCCTTGTTCTTTTGAAATCCTTTAGTGATATACTGTATGTGGTTATTTGAAATAAGATTTGAAGTTGATATTTAATCCACAAGAGGATGATGGGTATAATGAAGCTTGCAGTTATTAACAATACCGTACTCTCCCTCGGCAGGATTCTTGAGCACGGGTGATGTCAACTCCCCAGGTAACTATGGTCTCATGGACATGGCCATGGCGCTGGAGTGGGTCCACGCCAACATACGTTTTTTCAATGGTGACCGCAATAAGATCACAGTGTTTGGGCCAGGAGCTGGAGGAGCCATGGGTGGCTTGCTTGCTGTTCTACCCAAAACAAAATCCTTTGTTAGTCAAGTCATTGCCCAGGTTAGTCAAGGTTGGAAACAAGGTTATACAGTATCTGTTAGATGCTGCTGTCAAGTCAGTCCCACAGCCAGTCAAAGAAAATGTCTCAATATTTGGACAGAAGATGATGTCAAGTTCATGTATAGAGTTCTGATTTAGGTTGTAAAGCCTCTAGCTTGTTCCCTTTAACACTGAGAAACATTATAGAATCAGATATAAATCTTGACAGAGAGATATAAAGCTTTTTACCAAAACACCTAAATAAATTAATTAAGACTGAGTATAAGTTATTAGGATGAAGACTGTGTATGACTTATAGAACTGTATGTATGTCTGTATGTGTTATTGTGCTGAAAGAGTTGAGGTAGCACTTGGTCAGTAACTTAGGGTAAAATATGAAGCGATGATCACAAAGTTAGTAATGATTGCAGTTATATGTGGCATTATTGACACTACTGTAACAAGCATATTGTACTACAGTTTACATATTACCACAGAGAGAGACATTTATTTTATCATACATTTTGCTACAATGAAACAAAGGTTCCTGTCATCATCCCTCTGTCACTTCTCCTCAGAGTGGGTCACCTCTGGCAGACTGGGCAGCACTTGATGATGTGTACAGACTGCAGAACACTTCTCGTGTCTATGGCCTGGAAGTTGGCTGTACTGTCGAGTCATCCTACAAGCTCCTCCAGTGCTTAAACAGACGCAGCTATGAAGAACTGGCATCAGCACCCATCACTGTGTGTTTTTTGTCATAACTGAAATTGAATCCCTTTTGAGTCATTATATATACATGATGAATCTCTCACACTTAAAGATTGTTATGTTATATTGAAACAGCAGTTATTTATGTACTAAGTTATGTAGAATATAATTACTGTAAGAAATTATCCCCCATCAGTTAGTTTTTTTCATTTTAATAGTTAGTGACTCTTTTATTGTATTGTTCCTGTTACAGCCGGATGTAGGAACCTTTGCTTGGGGTCCTGCTGTGGATGCTAATTTCACAGTGCCTGGAGATGACTGGTATGAGGACTGGGATGAGAAAGACTGGCACATTTTGCCAGAGTTGCCTATCAAACTGTATCAGAAGAACCACCACCACCCAGAGCTTCGTTACCTCACTGGTGTCAACAGGGATGCAGCAGCCAAAAGGGTCTGTGAGTATCCAGGAAACTACTATTGTTTCATAAAACTGAACTGCTTTTATTTGTTAAAAGAAACAAATTTTCAGAGTGACTTTTAAATGCAGTACTGTATATTTATTCCTAATATTGTTGCCTGTTAAGTAGTCATAGAGCTTGTTCGTAACAGTAGAAGACCGAGTACGCTTTGCCCTCAGTTGAAGATAATCGGCTGGTGCGTGACCGTCATGTGGTAACGGAGGACTTCTTCAACCAGAGAATCAAGGAATGGGTCAGACACTATAATTATTCGCTCAACCTGGAGGGTGCTTATGATGCTATAAAGTGGATGTACACTTATGGTCCTGATCCATTCAACACTACTCACATCAGGGAGGAATATGTTGATGTAAGTAGAGGCAGGAGTGACAGGTACAGTAGTATCTGGATTTAATTCACAATTTACATGTTATAATTTATGGATTACATCTTGTTATATTGTACAGATGTTTACAGTTATTTGACCTACAGGTTTATGATGGTCTCTTTGATAAAATCTTTAACTCAAAAAGCATTTTCTTGTGCAGCATGTCCTTAAAATTTGCGGGGGTTAGTTTCTCAAAATGGCTGCGAATCGCCAAATCCGCGATAAACATTTGCGGACTTGGGGGGAGGGGGGATGTAATTTTTACTCGTGTGCAAGGAAATGTATATTCCCTTTATGTGTTTGCCCTTAGGATAATTATTTCTTTTACCTGTATTGTATATATATGTCTGTAGACACACATACAAATAAATAATTATGGCAAAATCTTCTCACAAAGCACAGAGTTGACTTGAGGGTAGACTCACATTATTAATACATTTTTGATGTCTTGTTTCTGATTATTTGTGAGAGGATTTTCCCATTATTATATATTTCTATGTGTGTGTGTGTCTGTCTACACACACACACACACACACACATACACACATACACATACACACATACAATACAGGTAAAAGAAATTATTATCTCTAGAACAAATGGCTCCCTGTCCCAGCCATGCAAATGCCAGCAACTTTAAAACTAGCCACAGACATTCTTGGATACATCCAGGGTGTCATCCGCAAATAATCGAGGTCTGCGAATTATAATCCGTGAATTTTAAGGGCTTGCTGTGTAAAAAAACCTGTGACATGAATTACTTTTTTTGCCAATTTGATAAAAGATTAAATCTAAAGGAAATGGAATTGTTCATTATACATAATATCATAACATTAATATAAAAATATTGTTTTGTGGTTACATTATAAAATACTTTTAATGCTTAACAAATTAAAATAAATCATGAAGTTCACATATACTGTATGTCACTACCAACTGATTAAAAACATGTTTGAGCTTAACTTGATGCTGTCATTAACAGATGCTGTCTGATGCTTTGTACAAGTCAGCAGTGGACCAGATGGTGAAGGTCCTGGTCAACAGCACCTCCAAGCGCCCTGTCCCCACCTACTACTACCTCCTCAATACTACTGTTGAGGCCCTGAAGCTTCCTTTCTGGAGAGAAGTTAGTATACAGTAACAGTTGTGCATGCTCTTGGTGTCTTATTCACTTTGGAAAGAGCAAAACTGTCTCCCATTTGTGGGGATAACTCTCTCCTAGTCAAAGAGGTTAACAAAGTTTGTAGCTCCAACATGACTTAAGTGACATTTCGTCTGTAGACTGCAGTAATTTCATGTAGCCAGCTCTGCCTCGCCAGGTAATGAAAGCTGGTATTAAACACCTCAGAATAATATCCCTTAAACGTGATATATTGTCATGGTACAGCTAAGAGGTAACTATTGTCAGATACTGCATTCACATTTACTGTTTTAGATATATGTATTAGGATGATTATCTTGTTAAAGTAATGGGTGTAAAGTGTCCTCTTTCTATTTCACAGCTTAAGGAAGAGACCTCAGCTATTATTTCTGTTATTCCAGATTCCCAACAACATTGAGTATTACTTCCTCTCTGGTGCACCATTCATGGATCCAGACTTCTTCCCGGAGAACTACCGTGTGTCTCGTGAGCAGTGGGGGGAGGGAGACCGTAATATCTCAGAGTTCATGATGAGAGCCTTCGCCAACTTCGCCAAGTGGGGGTGAGTTTTAAGTGTGTGTGGAACTGTCAGGATTGAAAAAAACATATCACAAATGATTTAGGACAATACACTGATTTAAATCATGTCATAATGAAATCACAAGTGTACAGAAATAAAGAAACATTGAGAGAGATACAAAATCTTAGAGGATTGGTAAAAACAGCCCAAAAGCATTTGCAGTGGAGGAATGTGGTCGCCAACCCTCAGATATGAGGACGATACTCTGATTGATTGATTTGTTTGTTGTTGTCCTCTGATATCTCTGTAGCTATTGATGCTGTTGTAAATATTATATACCGTACATACAATCCAAAATAAGTCAGTGTGGTGACAGACAAATGTTTAATTGTTTACTGCTTATGAAAATTGAGGACATGAGCAAGTGTATGGAGGGATGTCTTCTCTTATCACAGCCTTTCTTTTTACTTATTTCTCTTGTCTTGTACTACATTCTATTATTTCCTCCCATGTTGAGTGTTCTTCCTGGAACCATTACACACAAGACTGTGCTTATAAGTAAAGATAGTAGATAGATAAGAAAGAAATTAATGTTTCTTAATTTTTTTGGTCAGGAACCCAACCCAGACCCAGGTGAAGATACTGAAGGTGAACTGGGAGCCTGTGTTGGAGGGTAACCTTAAGTACCTGAGTATCAACACCACATTCAACACCAGTATGCACTTCAACTACCGCCAGCCCTACAACACCTTCTGGAGTGTTTACGTACCTCAAGTCATACGTGAATGGGTGCCTACTGTTCCACCACCAGTGAATGTAAGTACTGTATAGTCTTTGGGTGTTATAATACTCATTGCAAATATTTACTGAAACTTCAACCAAGGACAGTAACTTATGATGTAGATTGTCAGTACAGTAATATATCTCTCAAACAGCTCACAAGTGCAGTATGTATTAAAATTTACAATATGTGATACTGTGCAAGTGTTTGGAAACTATAGTGTACAGTATTTATTTTTGTTTAAACTCCAGAATGCAACGCCTAGGTTTTAACCTAGGTATGTTAATGCCTAGCAATAACTCGCCAGACAAACATACAGGCAATTAAAACATCTAATAATTACTTAAGTAATATTAGGAGGACACGTCGCTACCTGGCACTTAATTGCAGTTCTCGAAACCCCCTCCCTCAGCCCCCATCATACACACTGCCACCGTCATCTTCTTGCCTGGCGATTCAGCTGTAAATACACACAAAGAAGGCTCCGCGAATTTGTGTTGTAATAGCCGAAATACTAAATTCCACGAGGATTTTATATACATGTATGGTATTTATACTTCTTAGCACAGTGAGGAAGTAGAGTGATTTTTATTTTGTTTATGTCTCTCAATTATTGTGTTTGGGACAATTTCTTATACGATCTCTGGTCAGCATCATGGCGACCACAGCGCATCTTCTTTATGAAGTCGCTAGATCGTTTGTGACTATATCCCCTGCTTTCAAGTCACTCGGTGAATGTCGCTGCGCCCTCCCGGGCTCGTCTTCACTGAAAGAAGATATATAGATATATATATATTTATATATACATATAGGCCTATATGTATACTGTATCCGATTTTCTTTGTCCCAATTATACACATGCTAGTATGAATACCATGTGGCTATCTCTCTTCCTACTCTTATGTTCGTTCACAAAATTTTTTGGGCTTCCGCCCTTGGTTTTCTAATTCTCTCAGCATAAAGGCCAGAGTTGAGTTTTTCTCTTCATAACTTCATTTTATTGATGTCCTCAGTAGTGGGTTCAGCCTTTCCAGGCGAACTTTAGCGAGGCTGCTAGACTTAGTGTTCCTTCCGGAATGCTGACCTTCCGGTCTTACTAGCAATTTAGAGTTATGTTGAGATGGACCTTGCATCCTTTTATGGGTTATATGAGAACCATTCAGGGTGGAATGATACCCTGTAGACTTATAAGTAAAACATATGATACCCTGTAGACTTATAAGTAAAACATATGATACCCTGTAGACTTATAAGTAAAACATATGATACCCTGTAGACTTATAAGTAAAACATATGATACCCTGTAGACTTATAAGTAAAACATATGATACCCTGTAGACTTATAAGTAAAACATATGATACCCTGTAGACTTATAAGTAAAACATATGATACCCTGTAGACTTATAAGTAAAACATATGATATCCTGTAGACTTATAAGTAAAACATATGATACCCTGTAGACTTATAAGTAAAACATATGATACCCTGTAGACTTATAAGTAAAACATATGATACCCTGTAGACTTATAAGTAAAACATATGATACCCTGTAGACTTATAAGTAAAACATATGATACCCTGTAGACTTATAAGTAAAACATATGATACCCTGTAGACTTATAAGTAAAACATATGATACCCTGTAGACTTATAAGTAAAACATGATACCTTGGTTAATAACAGAATACTCTTGATAAGGCATAGAGTATAGGAAGAAAATGAAGGTGAATCAAGGGTGAATCTTGGTTATCACTGCTTCTTGTCACACTATAACATGTAAATGAGAAAGTTTTTCCTGGGTAATTTATTTATTTTTTTATTCATACTGTATATATTTTTTGTTTACTTGTGGATAAAGTTAATACAGTAATTAGCCAAATAGATATTTACAGTATTAAGTCTTCAGAGAAATAATGTAATAAATGTTGGCTTTTTATGTACTTTTTTTTCCATCACTTATCAGCTTACTAGCTGTTCAGGCGGTTGGTCTATCCAGTGTTAGTACAGGAGGAAACTGGAGTCTGGTTAACCTGTGATGTTTGGTAGTGAGGGTCACACCCTTCTCAAGTGTGTCCAGGGCGAAGCTTAAACCCTTGACATAATGGAGAGTTATGCCCTTTACCACTGTACAGTATTACCAACACCCTAACTCTATAGGTACTGTACAGCAGTAACGTGCATCTCTTATTACTATGTCATGGGTTCAAGACCTGGCCCAGACACCCAGTGTGACCCTCACTACCAAACATCACATGTTTTCTCCTGTACTAACACTGGACCATAAAGCTTGTAACATACTGTAAGTAACAAAGAACAAAGTAACCATCCAAATGGCTAGTACTGAGGCTGATAAGTGGTGAAAATATAAAAATTTAATTAGATTAATGTATATCTTGTTCCTTCAGCCTTGGACTCAGCTCAGCCAGCCTATTGTGGCAGCTTTTTATGGCTCCCTCGTCTTCTTAGTGGTCCTGGTGGTCATTCTCTTTGTTTGCTGTGGTCTGTGGAAGTCTGCCAAGAGGTATGTCTGCTAGTACTGTACTTTATCAACTCATAATTCTGAATTTAGTGAGTGTTAGTGTACTTTTAACTGTGTCCTAAAAGTATTTACAGTACAGTATTTTCAACTGCTTTCAGTGTTCATAGTTTATAAATTATGTATATAACATTAATTTAGTAGCTGGTGTGTGCTAGTCTGGATCAGCTAATTACCGGTAATCTCTATAATGAAATCGTTCATTTACCTTACCTTGCCTTACCTTGCTTACCTAGTGTCCCTCTCATGTAGTCAAAATGCCATTGCAGTATAAGCTGATGTAATTTTCCCTATGTGAGGTTCTCACAGTGTTGCCAGCTATTTGCTATACCCAGTTATGTTGTTCTTGCTATTGATTGTATAAAAGTTTGTGTCGTTTTTCCCAAGCTACTGTTGAGCCAGAGTGATAAGCAGGGTCCTTGCTTATAGACCTTCCTGATGCCCAGAAAAGTACAACTGTATTTGTTGTCCTTTTACTAATGCTCTAGTGAGTAGGGATAAGATCATAAGCAACAATATTTTTCTCATACAAAAACATCCATTTATCACATAGATGAATTTGCAAAAAGTAGTGTGATAGAGTACTCACTGTACTGTATATACTTGAGAAAATATAGAAAGTTAAACATAATTTTTCCTGGTCTTAAGCTGAACAAAAGAGAAAAAATGAATATAGTTGAGCATTTGACATCAATATAATTTTGAATAAAGATGTACACATACACATGAATTCAATCATTTAGTTCTGAGAATGTATTATTGTAGGAGACTTGTATATAGTGTACAAGTATCTATTGACTCCCATATGATATTTACTGACCAATTCTGATATCAAGAGCATTATGAAATAAATCATAGTATGACTTATGTGGGGGGAGGACACAGCCTAAAGCCCAACAACATCCTGATGTCAATGCACAACTAATATTCATGAACTTGTACATCACTAACACACCATCTTAAACATCAGTACGAACTTATGTACAGTTGTGGAGCAAATTTTTTGTCACTAGCAATGTGTGGTACAGTACAGTATCTTCCTGAGAGTCATGTGGGTAAGAGGAGATTGGGATTTTAACATTTACAAATATTTACTCAGATAGTTTTGTGTTACATCTTTTTTTTTTATTACTCAGACATAATTTTTAATAAGAAATATTTACCAGCTATAAACCAGTTACTGTTTACTAATATATTGATCCACAAGTAAAGGCCAGTTCCAGTATTGTCAAGTGTTGAGATAATTTTAGCCACAACTGTTATTGGATCTGTCAGCTGTACATAATATTAACCTTATGTGTTAATTAGTAGATGCCTGTATTTATATATTGTTTTTCTTTCATAATGCTAATTTGTGTTTTTATATGAAATTTCACTGGATGTATTTGTGTTCCTGAACTGTTGTAAGTCAGTTCTCTAATTCTCCTTGTCACCAGCAGGTAAGCACATGTTTCTCCTCTAAGCTATTTTTCCTTTAATACTGTATTTCTATGGACTCCATTTCTAAATAACTAGCAATATTACATGTAGCACTAACACACATACCAGCAGACTGTAATGTCCTGTAATACTTGATATACATGAATATTTATACAATTACTAATGCTATGTTGCTATATTTGGTCAAATATGATTGACAAGAGCTGTAGTGGACTCTTGTCTTTCATTCCCATATCAAATTTTTTTTGTGGTTTAGATTATACAGTTTGTAAATAACATATAGAAACTGCTGTTGCATACTGCTTGCTTCTTGTACATGCATTTGAAACAGATCCTTTTTTTACTTTTAATATATTTAGTATATTTAGTTTGCACAATCACTGCTTGTTTTGAAAGCTTTTCGTGGCATACTAATAATTATGGGAAATTGGATGTCATGCGTGTACATATCTGTGTTGTATGTATACTGTACTGAACTGAGACGAAGGTTTGCATGACTGCGGAAATAACACATTCTTTATATTATAATGCACTTGGCACATTCTCCATGTTTGTTAAACTGTTATGCACAAGTTTGTCATCAGCTCCCGAGAAGCTAACCACTTGGCTGCACTTTGACAAAACACAGAAAACATTATTCATTTTTAACCTGTCCCCAGCAATAAATCACTTTAATATAACTGCAAAGTAGAAACAGATAAATAACATAACTCAAATATTTTTATACCATAATTCTAAAAAAGGTAAATTATTAATTTCTGTAAAAATCAGTTGTAGGTAATTCATTCAGCTTATTACATGTATCTGGTTAGTACAGCATTATTTATAGAATGAGCAAAACACTTACCTGTGCACGTGCGTGCGTGTGTGTGCACGTGCGTGTGTGTGTGTATGTGTGCGCGTGCGTGCATGCTTATAACACAACCACAACACATGTAATGAAAATAAGAACTTATGGACATTGAAGTTTGTTTTGACACTTATTTACATACTCATTTATTTTAAAGTTTTTTCATGAAGTAGAAAACATATTTTTAAAAAGATGAAAGGAATCCATTATTCTGTAGTGCTTAAGTTTGTAAACATATTTACACAATGGTATACAGCAGTCATCTTTATCATTAAGTGGTACAAAAGTTATTTAATATATATGGTACAATGCTCCAGATTTCATTTGTTATAAGAGCAAATTTATTATCGACAATTTCTTGCTAACATCAGTAACTTGAATCACAGCATGAAGGGCAGTAGTTGCCCATTACAAACTAAAATAATTTGATTTGTAGAGTAGATGTATTCAAGTTACCATATTTTATGGCATATAAGACGCACTTCTTTCTGAAAATGGCTCCAAAAAGTCAGCCTCTGTGCTATATGTGTGAAGTTAAGGCCTCCTTTAGGCTAATGAATCCCCCAGTTGCTGTCTCCCATAGGATAAACTCTACCTACCGTAATCAAAATCCAGAATTAAAAATATGTTACTGTGTATTTAAACAATATTATAGCTTTAAATTAATTAGAGTAACTAGTAATGATGATAACCCAAGATGATTAATACCTATGGGGCACTCAACTGATCAGAGGTAAATAGTAACCATTTCTGAAATTTTATAAGTGTTACTAACTATTAATGTCATATCTGCAACATTTATATTGTTATTTTTTATTAGGAAACATCCTTTAGCTTTTAAAAGAAACTTCAAATTATGATAATAGTGAATAACGTTGACAGTCGTCACTGCGTGTTCGTAGTGTCTCACCAGCGCATAACATCAACTATCAACATGCAGGAAAGACTTGTACTACTCAGTTACCATTACTTGTTTGTGGAGCAATGAGTATGGACAGTATATTTTAGTCCAACAAGTAATGATCATAACAGTAACAACTGAGTGAGTACTAACACATTGATATTACCTTCATTTAAACAAAACTCTGGCTACAGGGGAATAATACACTGAAATATTTGTTCTTAAATATTCCTTACTGAAATACGAGTGTGTCTTATATGACCTTGCATCTTATATGCCCGTGCGTCTTATATGCCCGTGCATCTTATATGCCCATGCGTCTTATATGCCCGTGCGTCTTATATGCCCGTGCATCTTATATGCCATAAAATGCGGTACTTCCTGGTGGTGTCATTAAGAATGTAGAGTAGAACTTCATTATTAATCTCTATAGACACTAAGTTCCTCCTCCTGCCCCAGACAGCGGAACAAGGCCCTGACAGACCTGGTGTATTACAAAACGGAGACTGAGGCGCTTAGCATCGGTGAACAGAAAGATGATGTGCGTGACTATTTTGCAAAAATGGAGCAGCTTTCTCCCACACGATCTGTGACACCAAGCACCAATGTTTAGCCCTTGCTTCAACTAACAATTGTTTGCTGTAGACTGTTATGGTTTGTGTTTTCCTGCAATTAACACTGTTGCTTTTTTTACTTTTGGTTGTTGATTTTTAAACAGCTATTTGGAGAATTAGATAAATTTCTTTACTTTAAAGCATGATATTAGTGAACTTTGGAGATGGAGTCCATTACTTGATACTGTACCTCATAGATTGAACAGTTGCTGAGGGTAAACCTCTTAAAGCACCAGGACAAGAGGCTCTGTACCTGACCTCTCCTTCTCTTTCATCCCAGACAGAGGAACAAAGCTTTGGATGATCTCCAGTATTTCTCCACCGACAACCTTGGTCCTCCACATGAGTCTGATGATTACAAAGTGAGAGAATATCTAGATAAGTTATCTAACAACAACCACCAGGAACAGTCACGTTCTGTCACGCCCAACACAGTTACTACCGATACTGCAGATTTCACTGATGGTACCCTCACGAGGACCAGGGAGCCTTACCGTCCAGGCTACCATAATACTAATGTTGCAAAATCAGTGGACCAGCTGACTGTCCAGTATGGTACTGCTCAACATGGTCCTCCCCAACATGGTCCTCCCATGTCAAAATCTGATGGTAATATTCTCCAGAACTACCAAGATTATCCAACCTCAGGCAGGGGCCCAGAGCTTAATGGAAGACAACAACAGAGGCCTGTTACTCCAACCTCTATGGTCCACTCCGAGCATAATGGCCGGCCACCTCAGGACTATATGATGACACAACAGCAACGGCCAGTTACTCCAACCTCTATGGTCCACTCAGAGCCTAATGGCCGGTCACCTCGGGACTGCATGACGACACAACAGCAACGGCCCATTACCCCCACCTCTATGGTTCATTCTGAGCCTAGTGGCCGGCCACCTCAGGACTACATGATGGCACAACAGCGGCCTGTCACTCCCACCTCTATGGTCCACTCAGAGCCCAGTGGCCGGCTACCTCAGGACTACATGATGGCACAACAGCGGCCTGTCACTCCCACCTCTATGGTCCACTCAGAGCCCAGTGGCCGGTTCCCTCAGGACTATATGATGACTCAGCCACTGGTGCATTCTACAGAGCCAAAAGTGAGGACTCCAGTACCTGCCACGAGAACCTCTGTTGCTACCATAACCTCCACCACTGGCCTTCTCAACACAGAACTGTGATCCACATTCCCCCTACTCTCATGTAGTGAGGTTCATACTTCTTGTTATGGCATTTTTAAGACTAGTGTTGGTTATCTTGAACTTTGGTGATTATAAACAATAGCTGCATTATACACCCACCAATGGAGATGCACCAAACCATTTTCTTTGAAATGTAATCAGTGTAATTTATAGCCGCCATATTTATTCTCTTAACAAATTCTTCCATCTAAATTTCATCTTTCAGCACAAAACATTGCGTCTTCAGCGGTGCTCCTCTGAGTGCCAAAATTGAACTAATCATGGAACATTATTATGAAAATGTATACAAGTGATTGTCTTTCAAAGCAGAAGTGAGGTGACTTTCCATGAACTATTGAAATATTGATGATGTAGCCAGCAGGGTTGTGTGATGTGAGAGAAGCACAGACACTGGTGGCTGTGGGACAGGATGAGCTAAACATTGGCAAATACCTTACACCAGTGTACCATTGGTTTAATTATAAACAGTACTGTAAATATGGCATAACAAGTGTCACAAAAGTTTGATTTTATCTATTTATGAACAATGTGGTTAAAAACGTAGCAGCATCACATTTAGGCCAAGGGATTTAAACTGTGTGTGTGTGTGTCTGTGATCTCATATCATAATTGCTATGGATACAGAAGACTCATGTGAGTAATTCTTTGTTGATCATGGACAAAGAAAATAATATATGTTATGTAATATTGTAGACCACTAGAATAATACAGTACAGTACTATACTAATATGACATTTTCTACGTAAGGTCCCACAATTAAGATCACAGTAGAGATTTACTGTATGTAATGAGTTATTAAATTTAAGGTTATTTGTCATAAAAGTAAGATGAGATTATTTTTATATATTCTCAGAAGTAAAAACTGACTGAGTTTTATAAAAAATGAGGCAACTTGAGCCAGTGTAAACTTTTGACAGCACTGTTGGTGTTTGATACTTCAGAACCTTGCCAGTAATTGTTCACTCAATCACGTCTTCAACACCTAAAAACAACTACATATTTTTCTTTATGTTTTGACCAAGATAGGAACTATCTTTTCTTTCTTTTATATATATATATAAGAGGATAATAGAAATTCTCAAAGAAAACACATCTTGTAATTACACAATAAACAAGATTCAAGTTCATGTGTAGCATTTTTGTGTACAGTACTGTAATGTACGGTACTACTGGAAAATTTACTCCATATAACATTGTTTAAACCAGCTAGATTGGAACACCTTGATCAGTTTATACATGGGTACATTTTGGCCTAGACCATTTTATACCATAGGTGTAAAGTGATTTAGACCAGACACTATCCCAGGGTTGATTCTGACCTGTGACCTAACGTATACCATAGTGTACGTTTGGTGATCTGCCCCATGGTATAACCTCTCCAATACCCCACAGGGGTATAGAATGGTTGGGGTATTATCTCAGTCATGTGATCACTAAAGGAGTTAACTTCTTGATGTATAAATTTGAGAAAGATAGACTACCAGGGTTCTCACTGTTACCATGCACTAATACAGATTAAGTGTTGGTACCTTTCATCTTCCTTGGCTAGTTTTCAAAGATTGGTCTTGAGTATTAGACCCATATTAAGAGAGCTATATAGTTAGTGTTTTGATAGTATAAAATGTATAAAAGTAATGGAAACAATGAAAGCATAACCTTAGATTTCACAACATTTTTATCATCAAGACAGACTGAGGTGAAGTGTTTCATACACACATTCGAACTAATTACATTATAAAAATTATTTTCTTCCCAAAGAATATGTGTTAACTAAGCTATTGGTAGTTTATTTACAATACAGCTTTATTGAGTTAAGTTAATATTCAAATGTTACCTAGGATGTCTCAAATAGGAAAGTTGAAATATGTTATCTGCATGTCTTGAGTACTGTCACAAGAGGCAATAGTAACACAGGTGAATGAGTTTCACCATATAGTTGATTCAGGAAGGTGATAGTCTTTCACATGTTCTGAGTTATTCAGAATCTTTGTGTTTGGAGGCCAGATTGTCTTTCTCAACTTCTGACACAAAATCTAGTCTAAGGTCTTTGTATGAACAGTTTTTTTGTATGAATGTGTTTTACTGATTTTGTGGAGTTTTATCAACAAATGTACAAATATCTAAAATGAATATGCCTATGATGATTTACTTTTAGGCAGGGAGGCAGTACTGATGGTAATGAATTCCCCTGTAGTTTCCTTCACCACTGACGATGACAAGTGTTTTAATAAGTAACAGTCATCTCACCTGCCATATGTAATACCCCACAACATAATATATGATGGGTTAGTACAGTCTGCAGGTACCCCTTGTTATCCGAATGGTCGTTAATCGAAAATTCGCTTATCTTTAGATTCTACTGTATTCTTACAATTCTTTTTCACTATCCGATATTTCCTTATCTGAGTGTTGGTCTGATTGAGAATTCAAATCATATGCCAGATACAGCCAGGGAGTTAGCTGGGGGCAGCCATCTTGGACCCTAGACTTGCGGACCATTTGCATGGTGTTCAGTGTAAGTGAATTGCTCACTCTTTATCTGTTTGTATTCTTGCCATCCTTTATGAATCTTTAGCAATGACATCCAAGTGTTGTTTTGATTTCTTGGCTACCCCCACCATTGCCAAGAGAATGCATAAGCCTGCGATAATGAAAAGCAAGTTTGAAGTAATCAAGCGTCATGAATGCAGGGAACACACAAGCAAGATTGGGAGAGATCTGCCTCACATAAGGTTATGTACCAACTGTATATGTATTTTACCTTATTTATCTGTCTTTATTTATTTTTTATTTTTTTTTGTATACTACAGTAACGTCTTAAATAGAATTTCGGTAATTATGTAAATCACAAGAATAAACCAAAACGCAGTAAACTTCGCTGCAAAATGTAAAATAATATACTGTATTGGGGTTTCTTGTTGGTTGGGAATTGATTTCATTTTGTATTTATATTATAATATTATATTTTTTCAGTAACTGCATCCTATTTTGTCCATTTATTATGTCATTTTCTATCTGAAAATTTGATAGCTGAATGGGATACGTGTATAATGCCCACGTTACATCAAGGACCTGTAAGACTTGTGTGAGTGACAGGTAGTAAAACTGTCTCTTACTGTATGTCATTGATAAATTACAGTAAATATTTTTGACTGTTAACGCATGACAACTTTGGAGAGAAGACTTACCATAGTTGATGGTTTTATAATTTGTATGTGATGATGGCTGTCATGAGAAGTGACAAGGTCAGCTGGAAGAGGATAAAGGGAAAAGGAATACTTTTAGTCATAAGATATTGTTACTCTTACTTGTAATATATCAGACAACACTTTTTTCTTTGGTGTTAACTTTCACCACATGAAAGACATTACCATACCATCGTACTCTATGACTGTATGGTGTTTACCAGTACTGTACAGTGTATGTATAGTACTGTATCGTGAATATTCAAGGGTCTGTACAATAGTTAAGCCAGGAAACAAGTGTCTTTTCTTGAAGCCGTCCCGTAGGTCTACCCAGTCATCATTGCTTAAGATATGTAACCTCAGCTACCAGTCTTTGCCATCCAGCACAGTGTCTATACTTAGTGACATGTGTACATATTATGCTTTCTTTATGGACTGTATCATTTAAATTAATGTCAAAATTTTATTATCAACTCATATTGTCTGGTTTAATTAACAAGGGAATTTGTTAATAACCTACCTTAAATTATGGTATATTAAGTCATTTTTATAACCAATAACTTGACTCGAGAGTTGGTTAAAAATTATTGTAACTTTAAAACTGTGTACGTGCAATTTAGACTAACTGGTCCAACATCTCCTTCGTGGGATGCCATGTTTACCCCTGGTGGTCTAGGTCACAATGGCCAATAGAGGAAAATTATCATGAACAGGACTATAAAAGACCATACATTTTTCAGGCAACAACCTTACTAAACAATCCTTACTAAAATTACAATTACTGCAGAATGGTATACAGTGTAAGGTTAGTTTCAGGTAGCCTGCTTTAAAAAGAAATTATTGGTTAAGGTGTTCATGGCATTTTTCCAATCTTGCCCCTTATGCCTACTTATCAAGCATACACAGTTATGCCACACTCCTCAAGGGGAGATTGTTACCTGTGATGCAGGAGTTTGGGCAGGTGTTTCCTGCTCCCACCCTGGATAAAATATCATACTAACAAAGATTATGTCTAAGTGAATTACAAATTTTTTTAATAAGTGATAAAATAATATTGAATGTGGTAACTGAAATATAATGTATGAAATGTATGCTAGTATAATGTATGAAATTTATTAAGTAAGCCTATTATTTTGATATTACAGTAAACCCTGTGGTGGATAAACATGACAGCCACCTACTGTGTGTCTTTTATAAATATTCTTCTGTTCTTCACAATTTTGTAAATACATGTTCTTTATATACTTTTGTTTAATTTTTCTCATCACTTGCAATAACAGAAAATACTGAAGAATGCTATTAATTAAGGTAAGAGCTTCCATGTGATTTTTTTTAAATATTTGTATTGAATAACAGTTCAATACTGTACTGTACTCGAGTCAGTCAGTGGTGAAGAGGATACCAGTATAAGTACCCACCCGTGTCTCGGGCTGGGACTCGAACCCAAGATACAATTGATATGCTCGTTGTACCACCAACACCAATTAAGATTTCTGACACGAATACACAGTACAGTATATGACTGTTAGATATATTTTAGGTTATCAGAAGAAATTTATTGTAATATAAAAGCCATTAACTCTGTTTATTAACATTAACAAGTCCACTGCGCATGTCAGTTGTTACTTGTCAACTCAAAAAATGTTTGTCAACTTCTGACAAGCTCATCAGTCAGTAATTATGGACAAATATCACGTTATTAGTGATTGGAAAATAGCTAATGCAGGTATATATGTTTATTATATTGCCACTAACTCATTTTATATAGCTTAATGAAGCAGTGGGTCATTTTATGGGTATTTTGGCTAGGTAAACTTTTCTTTTTTTTTTACTTTTATTCTCTTCACCACTGATTGGCTCGTTAGCCGCTTGAGCAATCGGTCACGTCTCTGTTACGCACAGTTGGCAAGTACTGGGCATGCACCGGCTCCTGATTGTATCTGAACCTGCTCCAGTGCTTGTCAAGTCTGGTCTTGAAAGAGCTCACACTCGGTGCCGTCACAACACTCTCTGGCAGATTGTTCCAAGAGTTCACAACTCTCACTCCGAAAAAGATACCCCTCACAGTTTTCTGGGCTTGTGGCTTCTTCAACCTTGAGCTGTGATCCTTTGTGGGGTGAGCGTCCGCCAGCTCCAGGTAAGGGCACTCGACTGAGTAATAAAAAAAAAATAATAATAACGGTTTATTGGAAAAGTTCTGCAGCCCGAAGGCTGAAAATATACATTGGACAAAAATTACTTATTACATACAAAACCATGGGGTGGGTGGGTCGTTTAACAAAAGCTTTCATTTCTGAAAGAAGAAGGAACATGAATTGAACATACAAATTACATATATTATAGTTTACAGTTGATGGCCCGGGCCTGGACTGGTCATGGAGACACCGAGTGGTGTGGTGTTCATGTGGTGTTGTAACTCGACCTCGGGTGTTGATATGAAGGACCTCACGTGGTCATGGGGTCACTGCGTTGTGTGGTGTTCGCGTGGTGCAGTAACAAGTAGTGCCCTTTGAGATGTTTATACACCTCAATTAGGCCTTCCTCACCTCCCTCTCCCCTTGCCTGTCTAGTACAAGCTAGGCAATTTCATGCGCTCCAATCTCTCAGGGAAGCTGAGGTGTCGAAGTTCAGACACCAGTCTGGTAGCCCTCCTTTGGACATTTTCAATCAACTGACAGTCCCTACTCCTAGTATATCTCGGGGACCAGACGGGGTGACTACTCCAGATGGAGACGCACTTCACTCTTGAAGATCTGAACGACCTTCTTATAAGACCTAATAATTTGGTTGCCTGATTCGCCTTCTTCTCGCAATGGCCGGAAAACTTCAGCTCATTGTCAACCTGTACAGTTACCAGCAAATGTCCTCCCACAGCCCTGCTACACAGGGCTGTGGGAGGACTTTTGTTGGCAACTGTACATACCTAGGTCCTTTTCACATTCAGTCTCAATTAATGCAGTTTCTTCGTCCCGTTGGGACATAATGATACACCTCCTTACCGTTGGTACTGTAGTGGATCTCTCCCCTACAACTGCATATCCGCATTCCAATGTGACAGTATCCTAGCAACCAGCGAGCTGCTCAGGGGGCTCACCGGCTGCTACGTCTACCCTAGCAACGGAGTCAAGAAACCGGCGAGTTCCCACGGGTTTACTTCCGGCTGCTGTGTATATAAGCTCGCAGTCTCTCCATTGAGATTCATTCTACCCTACGTTCCTGAACACGCAACATCTCCTCTAACAAAGCTCCTGCACAGATACCTCCTCAAGCACGCTACTCACTGAATGTGTCTTTTGGGCAAGCTTCTCACCACACGGCATCTCCAGCATCAGACTGTCTTGTATATAATATATTTTATATAAGAAAACCGCCACCTAGAGTTTCCATCCATCCATCCTGAGTGCTAGACAATATAACATCACGAAACCCTGCAGTACGTCCTTGTTGCAGCCTCTTACACAATTAGATTGCGAGGTAATTAGTGGTCGTAATGACACTAAGAATATCTAAAATGAAATTTTTTCTATGCTAATTACTCGCCAATTATGGGTTTTTTGAGGTGCGATTTTAGTGTTTATGTGTTATTCTGGAAGTACTTAATTAGTTACGCCCCTTAAGACACAACACTATGCTTTACTCCTTCCGTCCTCCCTCCCACCCAAGAATTGACAATATTTATTTCGTTTAAATAGCTTTGACCAAATATATTTTTTATGCCATATATATTTATTACAATAAATAAAGAAAAATTAATTATTATATACAGTGTAGTGGATTTCTCCCCTACAAACGCTGTTTGTCGCTGAGTAGCCGACCCCGCGAATTCCACAGTGTGTGCCTCGTGGTCTAGGTCAACCAGCGCCGCCTTACATGACGGAGGTCAACTACTAAGCCACCCTACCTCCGCTATTTAAGACCTGACCTCGTGGTGACCACTCTCTTCTAGTTACAGCCGCAGCCAGCAACACCACCACCTCCTCCGCCGCTGCCTGGTGGTCCTCGCTCCCGCCGGTGACCATGGCGACCCACAAGCTGTCCTCTGAGCATCCTCACCAACCAGCTCTCTCTACATCACGCTTGTAACCACGCTGCCTTCCCAGCACCAAGCTGCATTGTACATCCAATACAACATGTATATAGTGAGCACATTGTGAGTCTCCTTTCTCCATCCCATCCTGAGTGTGAACCCAAACATCCCATACCCCACAACAGTACATATGTATTTACGCTATTAGCAACACGTTTAATAATGAGTAATGTCAACATTACGTATATAAAATAAAAAGATTTAAAAGAAAATTAATTAAATGAACTATGATCTTTATTTTAAATTTCTTCATGAGCAAAGCGAGTAATCAGTCGAACATTAACTCACTTCTCACAGCCTATTGATAACACTGCTACTACTACAACTAATAATAATAATAAGAAGAAGAAACGAAGTATTACAGTACACATTTGATAACAATAGAAGCTTGTATTTGCTGTGTGGTTCCATGTAAAGCATTATATTAAGATTCTTGCTAGAGAAAACTTGGATCTTAGTCATAAATCTGTATAAATTAACAAAGATGATTAAGTTTTGAGAATAATGAAAATCTAGTTGGTTAACGACACACGGTAACAATCGTTGTCAATCATTACAATAGTTTGCGCTACAAGGGGTCACAGCTCAAGATTGAAGAAGCTGCAGGTCCGGAACAATTTGCCAGAAAGTGTTGTGACGTTAAGCTCTTTCAAGACGATACCTGACCAACGCTGGAGCAGGTTCAGGTACATTCAGGAGCCGGTGCATGCCCAGTCCTTGCCAACTGTGCGTTACAGAGACGGGACCGATCGCCCAAGTGGCTAACGAGCCAATTGATGGTGAAGAGGATAAACGCTACTTGAATAGCCACACTTTATTTTCTATTTAAAACATCGTATTCAATGCTGATTAATTGAATAAGTGGTTATACAATGCTCTAAACTTAATAAATATTTATTTTACATACTGGTAATAAAATCTAGTTTAAGGTTAGTGAGTTTCAAGAAGGATTTCATATTTTTTAATTATCAGACGCTGGCAACTATGAGGGGTGCGGACGACCCGGTAGCCGTCAATGTTAGTCAGTCTTGGCCCGCCTGGCGATGGGGGAGGACGTGTGTTTGTGTGCTGCGATCCTGTCTCTTGCTGTTTAGAGGTTTACAGTTTTGTTGGCAGAAGTGGACCATTTTCCTGCCAGTTCTTATCAGCTGCCCAGAGGTAACCCCAGAACCTATGGTCTTGTAAAAATTTAACAAAAGAAAAATCACATTCGAGCAATAACCAACAAATTTAAGTATTTTATATATTAAAGACTACATATGTCTAAGATAATATTTAATAATTCCGAGAGATAGAATTAAGCCATGTAGAGACCTGTATTGTATAGTACATGTTCAGTGTTCAATATAAAACTTAATGTTGGATTATTAGGCAAATTTACTGACTGAACGATAAGCTTGTGGGGTTCAAGATCCACTACAAGCTGAATATGCAAGAACAATTATTAACATTATACAGTATGCACTGCTAGAACTATGGTAATTTTATTGTTAAATTTTCACTTGTTACTATATGAAATCGAAGTTGAAATTGTTTTTCCGAGGGTTTTTAATGTGTTATGAACGAATTTGATCTTTCCTTTCTGACGCAAAACAAGTTTGAGATTGCACCCCCCTCCCCCCCACCCTCTCTTCGTCTCCGAATCTCGAGATTTGCTATAAAAATCAAGGTAAAAATGTTCAAAACACCTAAAACCATCGGAAAAACAACCCGAATGAACCTAACTGGGGAGCTCCACTTTACTTTGCCTTTACTTTTATCCTTCACCACTGATCGACTCGTTAGCCGCTTGGGCGATCGGTCATGTCTGTTACTTTTCTTTTTCTTTTATCCTCAGTCGTTCGATGTTTTGCGTGTGTACCGTAGTTATTATCTTCGTTATCTGGGCAGTGTTAGTGAATCTGTACCTTGTGGTCAGGAAATAGAACTCTTAACCTAAACTTACCTAACCTAATTTACCTTGCCTAACCTAACCCTTTTTATAATACATTTGTAGAGATAATCAAAGGTTAAAGGTCATAATCGTGGAATCGAGTTATGTTTATACTGGTGGTGGTTAGGTGGTGTTAGGTTAGGAAGAGAGTAGGTGAAAGAACAGAACCCTGTGGGACACCTCTATTGGTAGAGAAAGAGCTCGAGATTGATCCCTTAACAA